GTCCTACCTACCACCAATAATTATGCAAATTATAATTTTGCTGGTTTGATTTTTATTACACCATGTTATTCCTTCACCGTGGAAGTTAATCGCGAACATATGTATTTCGTTAGAAAAATTGTTACCTGCCTGCGGGATACGAACACCTGTGCATCGCTACACACGAATGCACCGGACGTCTTATACTTTAGGCCACGACGACGAAATTTACTACCTACCTACTTTGCATTTCGTAAAAAAATTTGAACTAAAAGTAATTTAAAAGATTGCCAATTTTTCCAACGAATAGTATTTTATTAAGTAGTAAGTATTATTATATACATCTAAGCAATAAAAAAAGAGACTTAATAACCGGGTACTTTGAAAATAACAAATGACGTAGAGCTAAGCATCAAAATACGATTAAAACTTAATTATAATTGACATCAACATTTATATCTGTTAATCGTTAACATGTTTTCTTAATGTTTTGGCCAAGTTGCTTCGGTTTTCGTCACGTATAGATCATTTTATCATAGCTTTACAATAGCTTTTGCCCGCGACATCGTCCGCGTCGAATAGTTCACAAATAATGCTTTATTTTAGAACAAATTTGGTTAGCATAAAAAACGTTATAGTGAGCCAACCTTAACATACAGACATATGCTGTCGCGGACTGTTTTTTAGATCTTTTAAAGGGAAACAATTCTGTCATACATTATTTTAGCGAAACTTTAACCGTTTCTGCAGCGCACGCAGCGGAAGCTCAAAAAAGGGAAAAAACTCAGATTTTGAAACATTCTTTATTGGTGCTCCACTTGTATTAGTTTTAGTGTGATGTTATATAGCCTATAGTCTTCCTCGATAAATGATCTATCTAACACTGATAATTTTTCAAATACCAAATTCAAAAACCAGTAGTTCTTGAGATTAGCGCTTTCAAATAAACAAACTCTTCAGCTTTATAATAGTAGTATAGATTTAATTTTATTGACTTCGATAAAATCAATCTTTTTGGAATCTGAAGAAGAAATATTATTATTAGTTATTACGGCTAATCTACCATTAAAATTAGAACACATGAATTTTTCGCGGCAAAAACATGTACTATGGTGATAACCACCAACCGTATCGACAATTCATAATAAAATTTGAACACATTTTTGCCTTAGGGAAAATAAGTACTTAAGGTATCGGCATAGAAGTGTTGAACTCAAAGGGCAGATATAGGCACAGCCAAAGATGCCAGAGATGCGCTCGACACTTTCACTCTTGATGGTGCGCCAACGCCGTCTGTGGAGTGCGGCCGCAGTGGTGTCGCGACGTCCTAAGCCGCCGCCGGTTTTCACACAATTCGCAGCTTTTATAATCGAACGAAAGCACTTGTCGTAAACGCACTTATTTCGTTCTACGATTTATTGTGTAGTGAATGTATGTACAAACCATTATATGTATATAGGCGTAATAAAAGTTTTTTTAGTAATGTGTCGGTGGCAAAATTAATGAAAATTACCTTTTTCATTCAGTACCTATACGAAGTGCATTCGAGTTGGTATTAGTGAATAGTGTATAAAATACAAAATACAAAGAATTTGAGAAAAAAGTGTAATTCGACAGGAAAGCTTTATGCGTATTAAGAAAACGTTTAAATGTTTTTATTACGTCGACGAGCAATTTACTTTTGACATTCAGACATGATTTAAAAGAGCTTATTTGACATGGGTATATCAATATGATACGAACCAATATGTTCCAATAAAATCTCAAGTTATAAGCGAGAAATCAGGTGATCGACGACTGTACTAGTCGGCATTGCGAAATCAGCTGGACATGTTTTCTCCATATCGGAGATACACACTGCCGACTTATAAATGTTAACATGACGATCGTCCAGACTCCGCCGACCGACGCGGACGCTCACTGTAAATAAATAATGATCTAATTGTATATATCCACTGTACATGCTATTTCTGAGTCTGACGACTCGAAGGTTTGATACTTTATCGACGGCCAGCTACTTCAGTGGCATGTGATCTTTTGATGTAAAAAGGTGGTGAAATTATAAGAAGTTTTGTTACAATCTCAGTGACTGAATCTGATCGTGTACTTACGATGTTTGGAAACTGCTGCCAATATTGCTCATTTGTGAATTAAAAGGATTTAAATATTGTGTTTCGTTGAAAATTGTGGAAAAACGCCAACAATGCCGCACTATGATGAAAGTTTTATTCACGATGATAATGCTAATCAGCGAAGAAATAAACGTAGTTATCGTGTGTACAAAAGTGGATCTAGTCCTTTGACGTTGCTACATAGTAATGAAGTATTAAATGCTTTGGAGGACAAAGCCTCATCAGCTGTCATTAAGAGAAATATCATCAAGAATTTTAAGCATCGGACTCATCGTTATGCGCCTCGTTCAAATGGAGATTTACAATCTCTGAACTGCAAGTACAAGAAACCTGATATAATAGTGGACCATTATCCGTGCATAAGCACGTTTGATCCTAACAAATATTATGATATAAGAAATAATAATGTACTCCCACTAAGCTCTTGTAAAAGTTTTGATAATTTGACGATTAGACGCGAAAACAAGAATGGTGTGTTTAAAGATAAAATACGATACGGTACCAGTTTACAGAACTTAACGGATGACAGAAAAGTTAAGTACTCAGGGCCGCCTTCAGGAGAACGATTGCCTTCTACGTGCAAAGACGATAACAGGAATTCTTATTCAATAGTTGATGCTCACCGGCGATCACCTCAATGTGGAACTTCGTGTAGCAACCTAGCTCCGGCAGCAGGCGTATACCGTCAAATAAATAATGACGTCGCTTGTGGCAAATCTGTGAATGGTATGTTTCGGCCAATATTATATAACTTATTAGTTAATAGAAACTCAGTTAAATGAAAGTGTTGAAATTATATAACGTTAGGTATAACATCAAACAAAGCTATTTGCTTAATAAACATTTAGATACTTGAATTAAGTAGAAAAGAAACTTAGAATTAAAAAAAAACTTTATTTAAATGAATAAAAATTACGTAAAATTACCGAAGCGTGTATTCTACTGATTTTGCAGTATACGGTTGACATATAGCTAGTGTATATTTAGAAACTTGTCTGGGGTACCAGTATGCATAGGTCACTCCTGGAATCCTAAGTCTGACCAATAAAAACCATGGGACACCCAAGAAAAACCATTGGGTGTTTAGTAAATTATTCCATTTGCAGACGTGCGCTTGAAAGACCTACGTAGTGTTTACCAAAAAAGAAGAAAAGTTTTAATTTCATCTACAAATGAGTATAAAGGTCAGGGACTGGCGATCTAATTACAAAGCTTAACAAAGATAAAAGAAAACATTCAGAAGATTAAAAAAACCTATACAGAAATTTATTTGGCTAAGAATTCAAATCCAGTTCCAAATTTCAAAATTAGTAAAATTATTATAAAGTCATGCTTTTAGAAGTAGACCTTTCTTCCTAGGAAGTCATAGAAAAAACCACTTTCTAGCTACACAGGCATGAGTGGAGGTTATAGGTACATTGATTCTCATTGATGATCTTGTATAATATAACGTAATAGACGCGGGAAAACTGTACTATTGTTAGAGTAATGTTAAAGGCCGTGAAAAAACTTAATTACATCCAATACATTATTGTTAAAAAGTAAGCGAATTCCAAATTAGTTGTCATGTATTCAGCAGAAGACTAAATTGTGTATTCTTGTTTATGTATTAGTTAATGTCATTTTTTAAATAAATAAATAATTTAAGAGATTCGCGATACTGATGTTATTATATCACGGTTCACCGTACTCGTCGAACGCTTCTAAGAGAGTTCAACGTGACACCTAGTTCATTACATTAGCCTTCTGAGTTTCTCGGTGCTATTACTCAGTGGGTAGCAACTATGGTTTGCTAGTGGATGCGTTTGCGAAGCTGCCCTTCAAATGTTAGGCCTTCTTCGGCGCTCAGACAGTAGCTAGGCTTCGCTGATCCTTTGCTCTCCCACCCGTCCTCGTAAAGCTGGAAAGGCCTTTTTTTTTATTGCCCTTATAGGCAGACGAGCATACGGCCCACCTGATGATGAGTGGTTACCGTCACCCATGGACTTCAGCAATGCTAGGGGCAGAGCCAAGCCGCTGCCTACCGCTTAATACTCTCCACAAGCCTCGTTTGAAGAAGGACATGTCATAGCGCTCGGGAAACACCGTGGAGGGGAGCTCATTCCATAGCCGGATGGTACGTGGCATAAAAGACCTCTGGAAACGCACTGTGGATGACCGCAGTGGCTCCAGGTAGTATGGATGAACTCTACTCCGGTGGCGGGCGGTGCGATGGTAAAAACGAGATGCCGGTATCATCTCGAACAAGCACTCCCCATGGAACATACGGTACAAAATACAGAGGGAACCGAAGTCCCTCCGCAGACCCAGAGGTTCCAAACGAGGCCTAGGGGCTACCGCCTATCTGTATCAAAAAAAAAGAAAAAGTTATGGTATGCTTTATGGTATGTTTTGTTGATTCTGAGATAGAGGTTGAAAACAACTTTCATTTTCTAAAATCGACATTATTTTTCGACCAGTTTTGATAAATCTTAGATCTCACTGTATCCGTACATATTGATTAGATCGACTTTCGTTTTCTGGACTTTCTTATTTATTACTGATATTGGTGTGTACTTACTTTGCTATTTTTCAAACGGATATGAGATTACGTAAACACGCTAAAAAGCTTCCTGATTTGAAATTAAAAACACATTGAAAATATATGTACATAATATATGTTTGTTACAGTTAATACCCAAAGCAAAACGTATTTAATGAAAAAATATTGTCCTTAAGTTTAAGGGACGATTGACCGTGACAGGACAAGCGTTATACCCGAACTGCATGCTAAGTAGAGAGCGTCAATATTTAGTGTGCATTTTATGATATTGTGATGTGTGTGTATTGAGTAGTGACGCACTCCGGCTTGGGAAGCGAGTATGACCCAAGGCGACGGTCTGTCGCGATGCAGTGTGTAGAGGTTCACTGGTTCAATTCAGTCGACGCCACGACTTGCGTCCTCCTGTCGCCTTCGCGTTTATTTATAAACTGAGCGTCACCGCCATTACATTGATAAAATGTTTACAACTCGTGTTGCATTCTAATTTAAAGTTTATTGGTAAATAATATGTGGATTTTCTATTTGGACCCAAAGTGATATTAAATCTAAAAGTATTTGTGATAAAAAGCCTGCCTTTTGATTTGAGTCATTGTTTGGTACGTACTTTGTTCACACACAGTAATTTCCTATCCTTTTAAGTATTTCGTTAACGTAACTATAAATATATTTCCTTATTCATTGGTTTGTGTTTGCTACTTGATTACTATAATGAAGTTTTAGTTTTTTTATGAAATTTAACCCTATAATTTCTAAATAAATAAAAACCTGTGCCTTTTCTATTTTTATTTAATAATAATAACGTATTTGGTGCAAATGATTCTATTCTGGCTATCTGTAACTTGTTGGATAGTGTGCTTTATATTTACTCTAAACATTACCTTGAGGTAAGGTTATAATGAAACCTTGACTTTATAAATTCTCGCTTAAAACATTTGCCCTTGTTGAATCCATATAAGAAAATTCTAATAGTCTATAATCGCATAAACAAACTGCGATGCTACAAATTAATCAAGTAACGCAATTGTCAAAAATACAGTATTTTATTATTAAAAAAAAAAATGGTTACATTGTTTTTTTATTCATTGGCATGCATTGTATAACACTACGATTTTAGAGTTGTTATTTTCTATTTGACTTATTGAATCACAAGGTTACCAACAAGGTAAGCACCAGATGTTATTAGAGTGATTACTTCATACTGCCAATTTGATATAACGTAATTGGGATTGGACGATGAAAATGATTTCGACATTGTATTTCAGCTTCGTATATAATATTCTTTGTATCGTATCGTATGGTTGAATCTGACCCTTAAAATATTAAATGGTGATAATTGTAACTATTTATTCCAAGCATTGTTATTAATAAATCATCGCCATGGTGTTACGTTTTGTCAAAAATGTAGGTCAATAGAAATATATCCGAGAATACCTACCTGATTGACGTTTTTGATGATTAAGGAAAAATACAACGGAGCCTAAAGCGGGGGATTTTCCGGTGAGGGACAACTGGCGAAGGCTAACTAATAACTATGTATTCATATGAATCAAATATGTTTCGTAATGTAATATTTCGTGACTATATACGTAGTACGGAGTATATAACTCATTGCGCTACGTGCGTAAGTAAGATGCGCAATCATAAAATATTACGATAGGGAATTTATAATAAAAATTTGGTGTCGACCATAAATCAATTCTAATACAGATTAATCAAATTATATACTCGTTGGAGCAATGGTGTTCGAGGATCGTCACGTCATTTCGGATCCTCCCGATCCACTAACGGTGCTTTTAGGTACCCCAAACACCGGTCATCGTTCTCGTCGGACCCGTCGCTTGCGACGAAGGGCTCTGCGAGTAAATTAACCGACAGACATAGCCCACTGAGTTACTCGCCGGATCTTCTCAGTGGGTCTCGTTTCCGATCCGGTGGCAGAACTGGCAGATTCTGCGAAGCACGGCTCTTGCTAGGGTTCGTGTTAGCAACATCGTCAGGTTTGAGCCTCGTCAGCTCACCTACTAGTTAAGGTTACGCTGATATGGTCTCTAGACCATTACGTAGGAAAAAAAAAGAGGATCGTAGAACTTAGTTTTTTTTTATTGCCTATATGTGGACGAGCTCACAGCCCATCTGGTGTTAAGTGGTTACTGGAACCCATAGACATCTACAACGTAAATGCGCCACACACCTTGAGAAATAAGTTCTAAGGTCTCAGTATAGTTACAACGGCTGCCCCACCCTTCAAACCGAAACGCATTACTGCTTCACGGTAGAAATAGGCGGGGCGCTGGTACCTACCCGTGCGGACTCACAAGAGGTCCTACCACCAGTAATTACGCAAATTATAATTTTGCGGGTTTGATTTTTATTACACGATGTTATTCCTTCACCGCGGAAGTCAATCGTGAACAATTGCTAAGTACGTATTTCATTAGAAAAATTGGTACCCGCCTGCGGGATTCGAACACCGTTGCATCGCTATATACGAATGCACCGGACCTCCTATCTTCTAGGCCCCGACGATTTATAGTTTGTCGAATACCATTCCGATATCTTCGCACATTAAGGGTAATTATATTATTTGTTTGTTGTATCTTTATCGTCCGTATTAACAGAGGGTGAAACCACTGGCGATCCAGGTTCAGGGCATCGTGGATCTCTGCGCGGTGCCAACAAGTTGGCGAGGCGAGCGCGATCCTTCAAAGACGATCTCCTCGAGCGTATTTCGAATATGCGTTCACCGGCTCAGCAGCACCATCAACCGCATCTTTCATCTGCTGTTCGGTATGTTTATATTATAGTATTTTTAGGTTCTTGTATTATGGTATTGCATGCATTTGATCCCGATCTAAGAAGAATGACAAAAATGTTTACGCCACGTTCTGTTTGAAATGTTTTCCTTAACTTAGTACTTTAAATTTAATAAATGTGTATAGTAGGACGTAACCGAATAGTTTTAAGAGGAACAAATAACAACAAACATTTTCAAAACATTCAATATTCTCCTGTTTCTTCCATGACAATCACACTAGAGGATAAATATAATATTTTATACCGTTTCATAAATATAGTTAATTGGTAAGACCAGGCCCGCTTTGCTGGCAGGGCCGATCTTTGTATTTACTTTGATCTGAACGCTAAGAAACCAGACACTGGATTACCTGCAAGATTAATCTGAAGACTCCCTGAAAATTTCATCGAAATCGATTCAGCCATTTTCGAGTCACCATACAAAATACATATGTACATACATAAACACATCGAACTTTATAGATACTGATTAAAATTGTTAAACTAAGAAAATTGACAGATTTCCGAACATACGAGGGCGGCACTGAAAATTTCGGGAATTAACGAAGTGACACAACATTACTATTTAAAAATGTATTTATTGCTTTTAGAAGTATTCTCCGCGAAATTTGACATATTTTTCCATACGATGGAACCAATCATTGAAGCAACCATTCCATTCGGAAGTTGGGGTCTCCAAAATGGCCGTTTTGTAGGCGTCCACAGCTTCTTCAGGTGATGAAAATCTCTGTCCACGCAATTTATTCTTTATTTTAGGGAAAGTATAGAAATCATTAGGGCTTAGGTCGGGGCTGTACGGCGGATGGTCTAATAATTCTATGTTTTCTTGCTCTAAAAACTCTTTTGTTCTGTGCGCGGTGTGAGAACTCGCATTGTCGTGATGGAGGATGATGCGGCGGTTGCAGTTCTCTTTACGGAGTTCAGAAACGACCTGTGGCAAACAAATGCTAGCATACCATTCTACATTAACCGTTCTTTGTCCCTCAAGAGGAATAGTCGTAACATGGCTGGTTTTGGAGACAAACGTGGCCACAATTTTTTTGCAACACTCCGTGAACGAACAATTTTTGTTGGCTTTAACTCATTTTCGAACACCCTAACTCGTGACTGGTTTTTTGTTTCGGGTTCGTACGCGTATATCCAGGATTCGTCACCTGATACAATGTTGTATACAGCATTTGAGGATCCTGCGTGGAATCTTTCGAGAGTTCTGACGCACCAAGTAACGCGAGACGCTGTTTGCTCTTCACAGAGCGAATGCGGTATCCATCGGGAAAACAACTTTTTTACACCTAATTGTTCATTGTATTTGACTCATGCCAATGTCTAAAGTTGCCTGAATTTCGCGGTATGTCACATGTCGATCTTCCTCAATCAGCTTACGCACAGCATCAACGTTTTCTTGGGTGACTGCAGCTTTTTGACGACCTTGACGGGGTTCATCACTGAGCTTGACACGTCCACGTTGAAACTCAGCAAACCAGCAATCAATTGTGGTTTTGGATGGGGCTTCATCACCAAATGCAGAAATCATCCGATCAACACACTGTTTTTGTGTTAAACCACTTCGAAAGTCATAATAAATCATCGCTCTTGAATTTTCTCGAGTCAATTCCATTTTCTCAACGACTAAACAAGTTTGACAAAACCTCGTGACAAGACCGAGAATCTTTTTTTAAATAAATAAATGGTATTCGATTTTTAAAACCAAGGAGTTTCCAATTAAAAAGATTTTAATATGACAGGAACAGTGGAAATATTCCATTCCCGATACTTTTAGTGCAGCCTAGTAGAGCGTGCAAAGACAACGTTTGATAATTTATTTACATTTGAAAAAAAAAAGAAATATAAATGACGAGTGTACAGTTTCAGTGAAATCGAGAAATACAATGTCTATTTTGACATTAAAATAAATATGTATTTTCAATCCAAGCTCCAGTTCACCTCTTTGTTCTGTATGCATTCAGAATAAAGGCAGTAGTCAGCAAAATCTATAAAAAATATTGTTACAAAAATTGTTTACATAAATTATTTTTTCTTACGTTTGTTCTCTATGCGTCCCTAAACCGTTCAATCGATAATGGCGATACTTGGTATGGTTTTTAGAATTCCATTGAAGATTTCTATCATTGTATCGCCAACGTAGGCCAGTTGGCTCACTTTCATGAATGCTTTACGTACAATTCGCTATAGATGGTTAGAGCGAAGCGTGACACTCGTTTCAATATTATTACAAAATTTAATGAAAGTTGGTAACAGCGTTTCTTTTTAAACTTGAAAAAAAAACAATTTCTAGCTTAGTATCATTTAGTTAATATTATCCATTTGGACATTGTCATTCTTCATATGCATATGTGCATATGCATAAAAAATATGTCATGAAGGAGTTTGCTGTTCTACAATAGAACTCTAATTTACAAAGGTATCGTTTCTCGTCTTGCCCTTTAATAACTCGTGAAAATTATTAAAAAAATTACACGTGTTTCAATATCTTCATAACCATTTACTACTTACTAATACTGGGGAAATTCGAAGGCTGACGTAAAAAAATATTTACACACAGTTACGTTATCTCGTCGTATACAAGCATAACATATTGAAATTTTCAAACTGTAAACTACATCTTATCTTACAAAGATAAATTTAAATACATAACTCTGATATCTTGACAGACAGTGATACAAGAAAGTTTCACTCATTTAACAGTTTTATCTGATTCAGGGAAGAACAGTTTTTCTTACATTGGTTATTAATTAAATAAAGTGGTCACATAAACAAAATATCTGTGTTGTTAACGAATTGCACATCGCTTATAACATAACGTATAGTGGTGATATTAACGCAGACATTCCATTATATTATGTGGATGTAATTATGAGTCACGATCGCGACCTGCGAGTGTCGTACTCATTAGTACATTGTCCGCTGAAATCTCATTAGTTTGGTGCGTGCAATGTTAAGTGATTACATTTTAATGTCGGCGGGCAGCCTGTCAGCGTGACTGAAACGCTTTTTTTTTATTTATTGTGTCGCGGGTGGACAGTTTTTGTTATGACCGAGTGAGGTTCGAAAGTAGTCTGTCGTACAGTGTCCACAAAGACGCGGTGCTCGTTCCGCTTCAAGTGTAGGTCTTGCTCGGTGTTTTTGATAAATGTCGAATGCGACGCGCTCGCCAGTCGGCGACTGGTTCAACAAACGTACAAACAAGCTTCACCAAAGATTTGTTTACAATGGAAAACGGTATGATTGTAATATTTTATTTTATTAAATAAATTTTTTCGTTTAGCTATCGTTCGATTAGCATTTAAATCTATACTAATATAGAAATCTACAGTGGTTTTTACGGATGTTCCGTTATAACTACTGAACCATGCATCCGATTGACTTGAAACTTGGTATCCATGTAGAAAATACATGTATGTACTTAATGGATAGGAATGGATAATATTTATATGAGTGTTGAACTCTCTAATAATAATGACAATAAATAATAATATCAATTTGAAATGCCCAGCGAAGCGGGTGAGTTCGGCTAGTACTTATTATTACTCTGATCTATTTAGTTAAATTTTGTTTTGAATACTACAATAATTTTATACCTACAAAGGAAATTGGGATGAAACTGTTCAGTCGTATAGCTGTTTAGCTCGTTAGTCTACGATAAATATCATTTACCGTTTGGACTATAGCTGATCACGTAGAAAATTAAAACCGCTAGTTTACGGAAAAAGCAAAACAAACTTAACAACAAGGCTTCGGGTGTACGTTTTCACTATTATGGTCGTTGTGCCAGTGTGTCGTCACGGACAATGGCTGTCGAACGAGTTAATATTATCTATTTATATTGAGCGTATGTTGTTTGAACGTCCATTGGCACGCGCAGTAAAACGAACCGGGACCTAATTGAATGTCAAATATAAATCAGCTTTGTATAAACGAAGAGGTGTGTGGACTTGCATACAAAGCAGAATTCTTTCGCAACACATGCCGACTACTGACTGACGTTTTTGAGCTATTTGCACGCGTTTTAAAATATTACACAATAGATATTTAGATGTGTTTCCATGATATGAAATGTTTGCGTTTTACTTAGTTACTATAGACGCGAGACAAAGCCACGTAATAGCATATTAACAATTTATTTTAGTTTTACATTTATTTTATAGAAAAGAAAAAAAAAATTGTTTCAGTTCCCATTCACCCCTCAGTCCGAAGCTTCGAAATATGGGGGCGAAATCTAATACAGCCGAGGAGGGGGAAGTCACGCCCGCCAAAGAGTTAGAACGGCTCGTCAAAGAGGTTGGATATTAAAATAATTTTTCTACGCAGCGACCGTTGGTCCGTAAAAAGGCGCTTCGTTATTGAATCCGTTTTATTGTTCGATTTAGGTAACATTCGGCTTGAAACACTTCTCGGACGTGATAACAAAGAGGAAATTGGAAATGCTTCCTGACAATGGCACGATCGTGTTCGAATCCATTGCGAACATACATAAAGGTATTGATTGACAGTTAAAATTTCACTTTACAGTTCTCAAGTAGTGTTACATTAACGATATTAAATGATTACTTAATTGGAATTACATAAAAGTGAAGCGTAAGCTAAATCAAAACACTTTAACATTGATTTCTATTCACAATCCTATAATTGACTACCGTAACAATCGATTTGTCGATATGAACTATAAAATTTACAAACTCAAGTAACAGTACAGTATTCGTTTCCAGCAATAAAACCGTACTGCAGTAGGTCGCCTCCTCTCACGAGCGCCGTTAAACGTCTTTGTGCGGCTCTCGCAAAGTTGATACGTTTGTGCGACGAAATCACCGCGGTCAGCTTACGCTCGGACGCCAGCAACGAGGAATTAGATACGTCGGTCGCAGCCCTGTCGCCCGATCACGTCAGTTCGATTGTTAAAGGCGTGACTTCCGCCGTGGAAGAAGTCGCCGCGCTAGCCCAACAGCACATGACGCGACCGGCGTTGTCGCCCCGACCGGCCCTCGTGTCGCCCAGATCCTCTACACAAAGAAATTCATTGCCAGGTGAGAAAGGTGGTTTATTGGTGACAGGACCTCTTGTGAGTCCGCGCGGGTGGGTACCAGCACCCTGCCTATTTCTGCCGTGAAGCAATAATGCGTTTCGGTTTGAAGGGTGGGGCAGCCGTTGTAACTATACTTGAGACTTTAGAACTTACATCTCAAGGTGGGTGGCGTATTTACGTTGTGGATTTCTATGGGCTCCACTAACCACATAACACCAGGTGGGCTGTGAGGTCGTCCACCCATCTAAGCAATAAAAAAAAGAAAAAAAAGATCTTCATATGAACATAATACAGTTATTACGTTGAATACGATGCTGCTCGATCGAATTAATCAACATGCCAAAAGCATTTCGGAGCACGCGCACGTTACATATTAAAATTTCCCTTTAGTTCCTCATAATTGGATGTTGTAACTACGCTGATGTAATGTTATAATCGTATTATCCTGTAGAGTTTGATTGTCTAATATTTTATTATATATATATTAAGGACGACAGCGAATCAAATGTGATCTCTTTTCTCGTCGTCGATTCGTTAATTTGACCAATTAGGTACACGACCGCATTTCGTGTTTCACAATTCTGCGGACGACCGTGTACGGTTTTTGGCATGTGTGTGCAACAATACAGACAGATTCGACACGATTGCCATTAGACAGTCGTAATCGCCTTTCTGACATTGTAATACTTTATCCACGATACTTTTGAAATTCGAATTTCGGTTAATAGTCACGTCAATGGAAACAGTGCGTTTGTAATTTGTGAGAGCAATGTTGTCCTACAAAAAATATTTTTTTATTTATTGCTTAGATGGGTGGACGAGCTCACAGACCACCTGATGTTAAGTGGTTACTGGAGCCCATAGACATCTACAATGTAAATGCGCCACCCACCTTGAGATATAAGTTCTAAGGTCTCAAGTATAGTTAGGACGGCTGCCCCATCCTTCAAACCGAAACGTATTACTGCTTCACGGCAGAAATAGGCAGGGTGGTGGTACCTACCCGCGCGGACTCACAAGAAGTCCTACCACCAGTAGGATACATACAGTCGTGGTCAACTAATTAGGGACAATCTCTAGTTAAGCCAAATTGTGAATATTTTTTTTATTTTCCAACGAGTCTTAGCAATATTCCATATCTTTTACATGTAAGTGTAATTAGTCATTTATGTGCGCGATTATACAAACAATAACAACTTCTTAAACATTAAACCTCTTTACAGTATAGCTGATACAATATCATNAATACATGTTTAATCTTTGATATTAAATACTTTTTCTATTTATTAAATCTTTTATTTACAGCCATTTATAGCATAATAATCGGACCACATTATGCAAATAATAGGTGCTGAGAAATCAATAGGGTTTTATATTTAAATGTACATAACCGGTTATAGCCCTTCACTATCTTGAATGTCCCTAATTAGTTGACCACGACTGTATATATAGTTTCGCATGCATATTCGAATAAAGGGACACCCGTTTTTGTTTTACTCAGCTTTTAATCGATTATCAATGAACGTCATCAAGATAATGCAATGCAATCACGATAGTGTATCAATTGACCTTCAATGATTTGCACAATTGCATTTTTTCTTTTTCTTCCAGATATACCATTAACACCCAAAGAACGTTCACTATTGACAGGTGAACCCGGCAATGAGGCAGGCGGCGTGCGCGCCTCCCATTCCTCGGAGTCGGTTCTGGACGCGCCCGACACGCCGCCCCCCAAACCTGCGAGACCCAATCGGTTAGTCTAAGCATTAACTAAATCATCTATCAATAAAATATGTATATTTGGTCTAACAACAGGAAAAATGGCTCTCGGTCCTACACGATTGTTTGCAAATAAAGCTATGTAAACGAACACAATGGCGAACCCTTTATAACGAAATGTCAAATTGATATATAAGATTTTTCTTTAATGTTATAAACGGAAAGACTATCTTACGTCTAATCCGGTGCTAAGTAATAATCGGAACGTATTACCACCAAAATTGGAATGTTACCATCGCAGTCTCAATTATTGTAATAATTAATGGCTGTCCTTTTCTTTAAATTGGGATACGTGATTTACTTAAAAACAGGCAGGCTAGTGACAAGTGCGCACAAAACGCCCAACCACCGGTAATTAATTAAACGACTCGAAAGTTTTATATAAGCCATAATTAAGAGATAATATTTTTAAATGTATTGCGCATTATTGCAACTCACGTTTCACGATCATTCAACGGTATTTGAACGGAAAGAAGGGCTTTGACACCAAAAGGAAAGTAAACAATTCGATATGTTAGCTTTCTCTTAGATATGTTCTCGAGGAACGAGTGAGAGTGGAATTATATGTTACAGGAAAATCGAGTTCGCCCCACCTCTGCCGCCTAAGCGCAAGTCTAACAACGACAGCTCCCTACTGGGCTTGTCTATTGATAGGTAATTCATTACTTCCTAGCTCATGCTTAATGATGTTCACTAAGATATGACTTGAAATTAGATAGTGCAAATTTCATTACAACATATGAGCATTTCCAGATCAACCATTCATTTTAGTGACTAACTATAACGACATATTTGTATAAATATAACAACATATTTACAATATTTAAAAAAATCGCGTGTGCGACTCGATACACGCGACAGAAGTGAAACTTCTTTGACGGCAGAGAGAAATAGGGACCGAAATTTAGATTGAAATCGAAGTACAAAATTGTGGGACTCAAATCCTGTCCTAAATTTTTACTCTCATAGCACAAGAAGTTCAACTTCAACAAGTTTTAACATAGAGTTTAAAAATAATTTGGTTATAAACGTTGAGTATGCCTATATTTTTTAAGGTTGTCTCTCCAGTCACACAGCAGCGGGTCCCTGGATTCTATGTTGAATATTTCGAACGACGAGGATAGGAACCACCATGACTCATCTAACCACGATAATGTTTTCATTTCGCAACAAAATAACGACGTTTCTGGTGAGTGACAAGAACTAACTTCAGATGACGATTACATAATTACTATTTGTATTTACCACTTTTTCCAATGATCGAAATTCGACCGTAATCCGGCACCTCAAGATTCAGTTTATGCATAACTCATTTCACTTTTGTTTCTTTATCAACATTTTAAAACTATTATTAACGAATTGACAAACAAAAGAAAATAGTACCTAAATCGAAAATGGTATTTAAATATATTTATATTGTATACAATAGATGCTTTGTATAAGAGCATTAAATGAGTATAGTAAAGTATTTCCTGTCTTGCTATTAGAATATAGGAATGTCAGATTCCGGTCACCTTCAATCGCATTGCGTCCCCATCATCCGTCCCCACTCCGAGTGAGTCCCCTCCGAGTAATTGCAAATCTGATTCATTAGGCCGCGTCCTGATTGATGTTCATAAGAAGGGTTGACGTCAGGCTGGCAAACTAAGTCAAGTACAATAACAACATGGATACGAAATATTATATCAATTATATGAATGCAAGGAATGTGTGCTGTATAAATAATCAAGAACAGTCGTTAAAATCTATATCTATACTAATATATAAATCTACAGCGGATGTTCCGTTGTAACTACTGAACCATGCATCCGATTGACTTGAAACTTGGTATCCATGTAGAAAATACATGTACTTAATGGATAGGCTAATATTTATATGAGTGTTGGAATCCCTAATAATAGTGACAATAAATAATAATGTTAATTTTAATTTTTAACTCCCTAATAATATAGCGCAGCGGGCGAGTACGGCTAGTTTAATTATAATTTTTCTTAAGTAATTTTTTTGGAATAGCTCCCGAAGCATCTATTGTTTTTTGATGGCACCGTGCAAGTTTTCTTGTCGTCAAGTTGACAATCGACCACCAAACGTACGAAACCAAGTGAAATAAAGACAAATAAATAATAAAATAATAAATATCTTCGTTTCAGGGCTATGTAGCTGCAGCAACGGAAACGACGTACGTACCTCAATGGAGTCACATGAATCACATCTGAACTCAGCTCACTTGAACTCGAACCATAATCGGTATGTCTAATACGGTTAATTATTATTATTTCCCTCATGGTCGATCAAAGTCAACTTTTTTTTCCAATACAAATCCAGTCAGTGCACAGTCATTTTTGCATTAATTATTTAAGGTTGTAAATGTTATTTTTAACTTACCAGAGAGTATTTATTTTGAAAATTCTACGCGCAAATGAATCTATTATTTCTTAAACGAACACATTCATATGCTTGTTAATCAGTCAACAATCTATACTAAATCTACAGTGGTTTTTATGGATGTTCCGTTATAACTACTGAACCATGCATCCGATTGACTTGAAACTTGGTATCCATGTAGAAAGTACATGTACTTAATGGATAGGCTAATATTTGTATGAGTGTTGGACCCCCTAATAATAATGACAATAAATAATAATGTTAATTTTAAATGCCCAGCGAAGCGGGCGGGTGGGTACCTAGGGCTCGTATAATTATAATACTGGTGTTGGCTCGATCGTTCAAGCAAATATAACTCTATTTAAAAGTTATTTTGTGTTTCTACAATGAAAAATTAATATGAACAGTTTCTCAAACGAGTCTGGATTCGTTTCTGTGGGACACGCTGAGATATCAACCGAGCACAGTTTCACGTCTTCATTCTCTTCGCATCATTACTCCAGCCATACGGATAGGTACGTGTTTTCGTGCATTTGTCGATCGATTATCATTGTGTTTAATTACATTTCACAAATTAATTGCACAATCAATCTTTCTTATACCTAATGTTTTGTTCGTTTTACATTTTGTATTGTTTTGTGTTTCTCCACAGAGATATTTCAGACAGACTTTGAGTTAGTATTTATGAAATTGAAAGACTAACTTATTATGGCGTTTAGGAGGATTGGTCTGAACTGAAATATCTCTGTTAAGCTTGTTGTTATTGTTTTTGCAGTACTTTTAACAGTACAGACTGTGTGAGCGAAATGAGGTGCACAGTGCAAAGTTTTGAGAGCCGCATGAATGTAACAAACATGAACCAATGTATCACGCACCATTCCTCGCAGTGAGTGTCCACAACCTCATCGTTACCTTCACACTGTAAACGGTTCGCTCAAATAACCTATTTTAATTAGAATTTAATGTATTTTCTGAATATCGTGTTCCATTATAAAAGTTCAGTTAAAATAGGTTTTTGAACTAAGAAAATAAATGTTTTCGTTCCTATTTTTTTTTCAATTTTAACATTTTTTTTTAAACCGACATAATTCACAATTCTTGTATTCTTTGATTAATATAAATTTTCATTCATTTATTTGTCAGAATTTTATGTAGACTGTGATTCTTCAGAGTGGCTAATTTGACGTTGTAAATGACTCAAAAGCATGAAACAGACAATTTATATAAACCACAATAGGTACAAAAAAGGTGTTCAACAATGATTCAGTGGTTTTGTAAAAATGCAATAATATGTTTCGAATTTATGACCAAGTTAAAAGTCACAATAATTAACACTAATCATACCAACACTTACTGGTTCCCTTTTTCTACCATAGCGGATAGATAACGGTATATACCGTGTCATATGACAAGTAATACTAAAAACAAACAAAACAAAAAGAAATAATATAATACCAGTAGATTAATTGGTAAGAAAAGGTTATGAAGTGCGCAAAAGCAACGAGATGATACATGCATTTTCAATACAAAAGTTCAAAATGGGTCATTTGACCCGTTATGGTATGTTTAGTGTTAACGAACAGAACGACAGTCATGTCACACCAGTAAATCGACTTCGTATTCGAAGTTCGACTTCGTATTCGAAGTTCGACTTCGTAACGGATTAGGCAATTTATGTTCTACGCAATGCTTCCAGCAGACTGGCGAGCATTACTTCAGACGAGAGCGAGACTCCACCGGAGCTGCCCGCCAAGACGAGGCGCAACATTCGAGCCGACGTACAGCAACACTTCCCGAATGTCGAAATCAGGTATATATTTATTCGTTTTTTTCTTTATTATAATTACAAATATATGTAAAATACAGGTGCAGTCCTAACTATTATTTTTTAAACCATGTACATATCGAAGGGTAAAAGGCTATTTGGTTTAAGCGATATTCTAACGACTGCAGGAGAGCCATTTAAAGTATAAAATTTGGAAAAAAAACCATAACAAAAAAAAACTTCAGCTATTTGTATGGAGTAAACGTAATTGAAGTTCTATTAAAAACGTCTAATCGTTGATACTAATACCAAAAAAACAAACCAATGTCGCGTATATCAACCGAAATGTCGCTTAAACCAAATAGCATTTCAACCCTCGATATCATGTAGCTCACGTTTGGTAAACGCGTCTGTAATGTTTTAATATTCATATGACATTTGCTAAAGTGCAAATATTGCTAAAGCTGGAGAAAATCAAACAAATTTTAAAATGACTTCTGAGTTTTATTGAGGTAAAAGTGAGAGTAAAATAAAGTGCTCGTTGTTGGCCAACGAATGTAATTCTGCAAAGGTTGCATTAAGTAACTTGTCGTTTAGGCGTGACGCTTGGCTGAGTTAATTGCTCGTCTGATCCGCTAAGCGAGATCATTTTTAGATTTACACAATGTTGTGATGCCGCAATACGTCCCACATTTTTCCATTGTTTTAAATATTATATATTTTTGTTTACAAGTCGAGTTTAATATTTCTGGACACATAAAAAAAATTGGTTTAATGTAAATTGTTTGAGCTAAAAAGTGTTAATAATAATATGTGTTTAGATCGAACCCGGTATGTTCTCTGCACGGCGATGCCAGGCCGCACACATTAGCTGATCACCATCCACCGAGGCCCCCACCATTGCCGCTAAAGAAAAAACACAGTGAGTATATCGATATTTTTTATTACATAAAAAGTATCTGTAGGCATTTTCAGATATTCAATAGTAATTAGATTAACACGTGGTGCGAGAAATAGCCGAATTGAATGTCTGATTTTGTTTATAATTTATTTGTTTAACTGATCTAAGATATTCCGTATGACAGTTGTCGAAATAATTTGTTTAACCATGTAAACTAGAAATTTCGTATCTTTATGTGTATGTATGTATGTCTGTCTATAGTTATTAGTTTCATACCGAGGTAAAGTTCTTCCTTGTGTATTTCAACAGGATAAATAATTTTATTTTTGTGTACGATGTTTATATTTTATATAGATAACATAGAAAATACAGATTATAATACGCATTAAAGAAAAGTTATTTAAAATGTGTAAGAATTTTAATAGTCAATTGTTTTACTATCCTGAAGGAAATATATATCAAACCATGATAACATCACGTAATACGTACGATTTGATGACAACACTAAACATAAAATGAAAAAAAAAAAAAAATTTAGTTTTGAAAATTGCATATTTTTAAAAGATATTGTTAATACTTTGAATTATGAAGAATTAATGCTTATGAACGGTACATTGTGATTATGTACGTTTAGAAATAACTTCATAATCTAATGGGAATCAGAGTATAAAATTTGTTTGAGAATAATAATTGTTTCTGGATTTTTGAAACTAATTAAATGCAATCTCCTTTTTTGGTACTTAGCGAAATTTCAAAACCATTACAATTAACAAATAAATACCAATAGTAATTTTTTAATTTCTTGAATCAAACATATCAATTTTTATGATGTCGACTTTACGTTTTTCATAACAAAACAATAAAATTATAGTATGTAAATTATGAAACTACCCTCAAATTTTCACTACTTGCATGGGTTTGCTCTCGATGTGTCAGTATGGTCCGTCGTTACTGGCTGTCAGTTCATCCTCACGCGCTCACTGCACTATGGAATGTAATAACGTCTGCGATTGTGTCATTGAATGGGAATGTCTGTCCTCGGAGGGTACTTCTTGAATGTAAATGTTATATATATTGTATGTTGGGGCTATAACGGCATGTTTGTCTTTGTCGGTGCGGCGCCGCAGTGTTCCAAAGCGTCGCCTACAGCGGTGAGTGGATCTATGCATGAAACGCGCTACACGATGGCTCTGGTGCAAAACACGATGGGAATCAATTATGTTTCGTCGATCATAAAACTCTATTGAATTTTTTTTTTTTGACTACAACGAACAAACGAACGAATAATAAAAAAAAACTAATATTTAAAAAAAAAGACATGCCCGATGAGTTTCTTGCCAGTTCTTCGCCGGACGGAGGCTAATTTTTGTGAATTGGCGGTAGTTCTTTTTGACGTTCAAAAGTGTGTACTTTCATTTATGTTGAATAAAAAAATTTTGATTTGGTTTGATTGATTTAAACACTATGTGGACCTTTAAATAATACGAAAACATAATTAATCCTGATGTCGTGTTTTGTGTTTTTTTTAAACTAGAGATCCACTCCATTAAATGACATTGGAGTTATATAGATAATTTAAGTGTGCTTGAAGCAATCTTTGTTTTGAAGTTGATCCCTCATGATAACCATCAAGAGGTCTCCTAAACGCTACCAATGTTGACTAATTCGTTTTACATCATTACATTGTCACTAACAAAAAAACAATATGTAAATAAATTGTTATGAAATACTCTTGATTCATAATTTTATTCATATAAAAAGTGTTCATTACGAAGCCTTGAGTATAATACACAATGAAAAGGAAGGGCTCTCAAATTAGGAAATTGTTTCGAAATGCGTTTACGTAAGCCAAAACAGTTACTAATATACTAAGCAAAGCAATATGTAATAGTTTTGTTATTCATTTTTCGTGCATCCACAAACTAATCTATAGACAGGGGTCAACGACATAAACCCTGACTATTGCGCGTCTGCTGATTTTTGGATGTGGTACATTGCGTATAGAAATGTGTTTCGATCATGTTTTTTTAATTGTGTACGCAATAAGTAGTACTAATTTTTGTCTTCGTTTTCGGAACGTTTTAGAGAAACTAGATAATTAAATATAATTATGGTATTGGTAGAAAATTTTACAGTTCACCTTCATTGTGTTAGTAAATTCTTGAACATAGCACTTTTATTTTTCTGGACAAAGTACTAAACAACACATATATATTCTGTAAAGTGTGTATAATGGAATTGCTTTGGCGTTGAAGTTTAGGATAATCTCAATTATCTAAAACTTAAAATTTATGTTTCAAAATGTTAGAAGTTAAATAACCGACGCCTAAATTTTATTTTTACCGCAAAGAGATTTCTCTTAAAAATAAATCGATGAACAATCTTCGCATTTATCACGATAAGCCTGCCTTGCTTTAAACGTAGAAATGTATTTATTTCCGCTAATTGGTATATCGCAGCTTGAAATAGCGTATTGTCGAATATACGCGACGTAGCTAATTATCACTTATGAACTTACTTAGTGCTTCATTATAATGCGTCCTTGCTTTGTTCGGTGTTCATTTGGCGGCTCATTGTACATACAACGCACGTATTCCATGTCCACAACAACCATAGTGTGATTACTTTTCATTAAATCATAATGTTAGTAGTGTACAAAATTCACTTGAAGTTATTGAAAGCATTAAATAAATAAATAAAAACAAAGCTCTAGCTTGTTGAGTAAAAATTGTAATAAATTCTATTATAATAAATAAATGTATATTTTTTTAGTTATTTTAAAAATCACGTGAATTTTGTAACACTTGATACGTTTTTATATCCTTTGACCAGAAATTTGTGTTTGTGCAGTAATGGCGTACATGGAAATGTTCGGTAACTGCAGTCACCCGCCGAACAACGCGGCCGCACCGCCCGATATGTTCCGACATTCCATACACACGTACAATTTGGCCAGGTTAGTGTTTTTTTTCCTCATTTTTTAACAAACTAGCTGACCCGGTAGACTTCGTAGTGCCTCAATTGATAAATAAAAGACCTAAACTTTTGTATAAAATAAACTTAAAACAAACAAAAGGAATCCGTCCGACGGGGGATACATCAAAGGGAAAACAAAATTGTTATTTTTATTTAACTCCGAGCATTTTCATATATTTATCTACCATTTAAACCTTCTGTGGACTTCCACAAATAATTCAAGACCAAAATTAGCGAAATCGGTCCAGCCGTTTTCGAGTTTTAGCGAGACCAACGAACAGCAATTCATTTTTATATATAGAGATAGATAAGTTGAATTAATATGAATCAAAAAATTTAAGCCTTATATTTGTATGTTTATTTTCAGTTCTCAACACACAAGTGCAGGTGTGATTAGCGTTCAGAGACAACAAGTTCAAAGGTCTATAGCTCAATCATTTACAGTACAACACTTTGGGAATCCGCCCCTGAGGTATGTCCGTCAAAATCGAGTTTGTCTATGAATAACGCGTCGCAGTGACGCAGTATAACTTACATTTGTCCGTATGTTTCCAGTGGGTCTGACGACAGCGTCAGCTTAACATCGAGCGGCACCAGTCCTTTACCTCTAGAACCGCCACCGGCTTTGCCGCCCAAGATGAATAAAAAACAGGTAATCACAAACCTCTATTGAAATTAGAACAAAAGTGACCGTCTTCAAATATATAGTATTCCTAAACGCAGTTGAAGTATATCTAAATACTGACGAACAGTTGACTCTCGCCGGATCTTCTCAGTGGGTCGCGTTTCCGATCCGGTGGTAGATTCTGCGAAGCACGGCTCTTGCTAGGGTTCGTGTTAGCAACGTCGTCAGGTTTGAGCCCCTAATAATTAAGCTCACCTAAAAGCTCACCTAATAATTAAGGTTACGCTGTAAATAGCCTCTCAAGGCTTATCAGCTTAAGTAGAAAAAAAAGTCGCCTCGAAAAAAGCTTTAGCATTTACTAGATACTGTTGCAATTTATTAGTGAAGTATGTATAGTAGTGGGATCACTTAAAGCCCTATAGTATATTGAAGCAGTGGTCGTAGGGCGCATTGTCAACTCGCATCTCGTTCGACATCTGCCTTTCAATAAATTTGATACTTTATGTCTTAAATCTTGAGGTACGGTAATGTATACGGTCATAGAAGCCACTGAATATATAGATAATAAGCTCATTTGCCTATCAGCAATAAAATAATAACAACAGTAATGGAGGTTGAAATTTCACATACATATTTAATGTAATATGTGACATATTTGTTTATGTAAAACAGGTTCAATTGAATTCGAGCAACGAATTATTGCCTCCGCCGTCGCCGCGACCATCCTCCCACAATAGTTCGGCAGATGAAAGTCATTTAAATAATATTGTGAGTATTAGTTGAGCGTTTTTGTTGCCTTGAATGAATAATTTAATTGATCCTTTAATTTACTAAAATTACAAATAATATGAATATCATAAAAATTGCTACAGTCGTACCTAATCTTGAGTTTAAAATAACAATAGTTTTAGTAAGTACATACATCTATCGAATGACTAACATTGTTATAAATGACATGTAAACACCCAAAATCTAGTACATTCCTAATTATAATTTAGTATTAATTGTTAAAGGAGGGGAAAGAGGCCTATAATTTGAATAGTTCAACATATTTGCCTTATAAGATACGTTTATTTACCTTTAAGGCAGATAAAATAATGACCATACCCTTTCATAAAATGAGGTTTGGGGACAGTACTTATTGGTAGGCAGCGGCTTAGTGTGCCCATGGCATTGCTAATGTCCATGAGCGACGGTAACCATTCACCATCAGGTGGCTGTATGCTCGTCTGCCTACAAGGTCAATAAAAAAAAACATACACTAATACTTGAATAACACCCACAATAATTCATTCTAGCAGTCCGATGAATCATTTATTAACATCACAACGCCTGGTAAATTCCCACTGGAATATGAGTTTGAGAATCTCTTGGACACGTCGGCGCCGTCTCCTGCTCCGTCACAGGTAAGGCTCATGTAACATTTATTTGCTTCTTAAGCTATTAATCGACTAAGCGGGGTCGTACACACACATATTGTAACCAACAATGTTCATGTTTACTGGTACTGGCTTACTCATATTACTGGTGGTAGGACCTCTTGTGATTCTGCACAGGTAGTTACCACCGCCCCATCTATTTCTGCCGTGAAGCAGTAATGCGTTTCGGCTTGAAGGGTAGGGCAGACGTTGTAACTATACTTGAGACCTTGGAATTTATATCTCAAGGTGGGTGGCGCATTTACGTTGTAGATGTCTATGGGCTCCAGTAACCACTTAACACTAGGTGGTCTGTGAGCTCGTCCACCTAACCTAAAATTGTCTGACTCTCCTCCGGAAAAGTAGCTGTCGGGTTGACGAATAAAGATGGGAACTAGTGGTACTGGTTAAGTCGCTGTAATTTTTAGTGAATTATTATTATTATGGGTTCCCTATCCCAAATAATCCGTAAGAGCACATCTATCCACAACTTGCTAGTGTGGTATGCTTATATGGTTGAAAGGTTGATGCGGCGGGGGAGTCACGACCCTCAGTAATGAGGAAAACGAACTCTTCCTACATATCCAACCTCGCTGCAATAAAGATACAAATTGGACTTAAACAAGCTATTCGTTATATTATTGAAAATAAAGTTCAATCGAAGGGTTAGTAGGTTATTGAAAATTACTCTTGAAAAAGGACCAAGGTTGCGAGGATTGATAGAGAAGTAGTAGTAACTTATAATGTACTTTCATTTCTCGCAAGACTGGGACTAAGTTTGCTTGAGCATCAGGTTATTTTGTGTTACTCCCCCCTAACGTAAGCAGTCCCCATGTCTGAATACCGTCTGCATGTACTGTTAATGTATAAGAGACGCACAAAAAAAAAAAAATATTTAATCAATCAAAACAAATTTCAGAAAAGTGAAGAAGTTGTAGAGCCATCGCCTGTCGAAAAAGAAAAGCCCGCAACGCCGACCCCACCTGACCCCGACGACATCGTGCTGCAGACCGACATCAACAAGTGGCTCGTACTGAAAGGTTCCAACAAGGATGGACCCGAAATACGCGGAGGTCACCCTGACGCTCTCATAGTGCTCGCGACTAAAGGAACCAAAGGTTAGTTTCCATTCCGTCTCATTGTGGACAAGGATTGTATGGGAGTTTCTTTCAATATTCATCGGTAAATTAAATAAACCATGGGATGGCATTAAGGCATGAACGCATTGGATTCGTAAACTCATATTATACTTGGTCTTTTAATACGATTTTCATTTAATTATGGATGAAATATAATATTTATAGTAACCGGTTCAAATGAACTTTCAAACAATAATATTATCAATAATATCACTGTCTATCTTTATTTATAATTAAAAATATAATATTTTATTTTCTAAATAATCAATTTCTAAAATAATATAGCTTCTAACCTCTGAACTGTCATGCTTTCACTTTCAGAGACGGAAGAGTGTAAGTGATGAATCAATTAATAATATTGGGCTGAAGAATTTGCTGGTTTTGTGAATTTCTAAATTTAAGCTTTAAAATGCTGTTTGTTTAGATTTCGTTTTCTCGCATTAAGACGGTATAATTTCAAAACTTACTAATTTTACACGAGAGTGTTTTAAAGGTTTAACATGTAATGTTTTTAATATTAATCATATTTCTTTTTTTGTACCAGTTACATTATCTGTCTTTTAAAGTAAGATAAAAGTATGTATTAATTTTGTTAATAGTAGTCAAAACAAACATAGTTAAACTAAAAAAAACCCCACAAAATGGTCTTTTGACATTATTTATGAGAAAAACACTGGTGATACTAAATGTTTACGCATATTAACTCGAATTTACTGGTGGTAGGACCTCTTGTGAGTCCGCGCGGGTGGGTACCACCATCTATTTCTGTCGTGAAGCAGTAATGCGTTTCGGTTTGAAGGGTGCGGCAGCCGTTGTAACTATACTTGAGACCCTTAGAACTTATATCACAAGGTGGGTGGCGCATTTACGTTGTGGATGTCTATGGGCTCCAGTAACCACTTAACACCAGGTGGACTGTGAGCGTCCACCCAATTAAGCAATAAAAAATAAATTGAATATTTTTGGAAATTGTACACTTTTAATGCGAAAAGGCGATTTGTTCACGATCAATATAATACAATGGCTTAGAACTAAAACGACGTTCTCGTAGTTGTTGTTATGTAATGCAAACGGCACCCGAGTTTCAGCTTCAGCATGGCACGAGCATCAGCAACAGCTTCTATTTTAAAACTAATAGTTTAATGAAATCACAGCTATGACTTTGACCGCTTACGTCGGCACAACGAGAGCGTTTTTTTTTTAAACGAAGAAGAGGGCACGCACGAGGAGGAAACGCTTAGGGCAGGGTTCCTTAATCTATTTGCTGTAACGAATCACTATTTTAGAATCGAAACGTCGCGGAAATCATGGAAATATTTAAAGAAACTAGTGGTCGGTCGGCCCAGCGATCGAAATTCGACCATAATTAAAATTATAAGTTTAAACATTATTAAGGGTCCAAAGACTAGACCTCTATAATCATAGATTCCGCCAAGGCTACAACCATAGGCAAATAATATTAATCTATTCCCAATTTGACTACTTTAACAATAAACAAAAGAGTGGGTATATATGTGCGCGTTTGTGTCATGTTTTATTTATTGTTTTTTTTCATGCATAGTTAAAAAATATTAGCATTCTGCACTCCTCTATATAAATTACTAGCCGTACTCGCCCGCTTCGCTGGGCATTTAAAATTAACATTATTATTTATTGTCATTATTATTAGGGAGTCTAATACTCATATAAATATTAGTCTATCCATTAAGTACGTGTATTTTCTAGATGGATACCAAGTTTCAAGTCAATCGGATGCATGGTTCAGTAGTTATAACGGAACATCCTTAAAACCACTGTAGATTTATATATTAGTATAGATAAGGGTGAATGTGTAAAATTTCACACTCCTCGTGTAAAGGTTTTGCTTATATAAATACTGCTATTCATAATCGGATAAGCTAGCTCGGTAGTTTAAGGAACCCCGCCTCTAGAGTCCGTAAGGCGCGCGGTCACGAACAGCGAGAATGAGAGTTGTGTGTGTGCAGACTTCGCGTACCAGGAAGCGTTCCTGGCGACGTACCGCACGTGGGTGTCGCCGAGCGGGCTGGTGGCGCGGCTCGTGCGGCGCGCGCACCACCTGCGGGCGCGCCCCCACGACCTGCGCTCCACGCTCAGCCTGCTCACCAGGGTCGTCGCCGATCTCACGTTAGTACATACACACGCTTCACCACGATATCAAAATCATACTTTTTTTGTCATGTGAAATGTCCAACTTTTCTCCCTTGGTGCACAATGTACTATTATTTCTTAGATGGGTGAACAATCTCAAACCTCATCTTGTGTTAACTGGGTACGGGAGCTCATACTCATATCTATCGAAGTGGTAACTGCGGGATTTGAACACGGTGATGGTTGCATCGTTTGATACATATACTCTGCAGTACAATTGTAGAGCGACAATAAATAAATGTCTATTGACGTTTGATGTCATTTCGTTTTAACGACTCATAAATTTCAGGATGCTAGATTTGGATTACCCGTTAATGCAAGAGATAATGGAGTTCATCTACTGGTTGATTTACGAAGCCGAAGAGCTCGCAATAGCGAAAGCGCTAAGACAAATTCTAGTCGATAAACAGAAACAGTTGCATTTCCAACAAGTGAGTTATTAAAAATCATTGCTTCATTTTAAATTTTATTTAAAAACTAGCTGACCCGGCAGACTTCGTAGTGCCTCAATCGATAAATAAACTTTTGTATAAAACAAAATTAAAACAAACAAAAGAAATCCGTACGACAGGGAACACATAAAAGGAAAAACAAAATTGTTATTTTATTTAATTCTGAGCATTTCCATATTTATCTACCTTTTAAACCTTCTCTGGACTTCCACAAATAATTCAAGATCAAAATTAGTCAAATCGGTCCAGCCGTTCTCGAGTTTTAGCGAGACTAATGAACAGCAATTCATTTTTATATATGTATATAGATAAAAATTATACAAACTATCACCGAGTTGAGGCTGTTAGTAAAAGAGCCAAATTTTTGTAATAAAGCACTATCATCTTGCTGTGACAGTTTTCTTCTGTATTCCAGACAAACAATAGATACGAATACGACACGCCGTGCTACGGAACAGTGTCGCTTCGTCGCGATACGTTGTTGGATTTCAAAGCCACGGAAATAGCCGAACAGATGACGCTCTTGGACGCGGCGTTGTTTATCCGCATCACCACGGCCGAGGTGCTGTCGTGGCCTCGCGAGCAGTCCGAAGAGAGCTCACCCAATCTCACCCGATTCACGGAACACTTCAACAAGATGAGTTATTGGGCGCGGTCGAGGATCTTGGAACAGGTAAGAATTGTTATGCTACTACTGAATATGTTTGCAATTAGGTTGAACTTTGTAGAAGATACTGCCCAATTACAAATTGATATGGTAAACGATGTGGGCAAAGGACAACCGGATAAAATCCGCTTTCAATGTGTTAACGAGGCTTCTTGAAAAGGGGACACGCCTACAAAATTGTGTGTAGTGGGCACGCGCGATCGCACGGCCTGTCGGTGGAATTATTTATTAAAATGGCGTGCGCGCGTCTCGCGGCACGTAGAGAGGGGGCACCGCTTCTTTCGTTAACACAATGAGATTCTAGAAACTATAGAGAAAACTTTGCTTAAAGTGTTTGTAGCTGAAAAGAGGAACCACTCGGTGCACTCGTATCGAGTGTTGGCACTAACCCGCCAAACTCAATGGCGGACATCCATTTATTCAATATGTACTAAACACGTTTTCACGAATGACTATTGATGAACTGATGATGTAATTGATGTAATTACTGGTGGTGGATATATTGAGAACTTACACAAATAGATACCACTATGGCGATGGAACCGTCTGTTTTGTTCAAAAGTCTACATGTGAGCTTTGGCAATCACTTTACACTAGATAGAACGCGCGCTCGTCTATCTTTCTAGTGCAATAAAAAAAAACGAGGCTTCTAATGTATGTATAACAAATTTATTTCCAGGAAAAGGCAATAGAACGTGAGAAATACGCCAGTAAATTCCTGAAAGTGATGAAGGCGTTACGCAAGATGAACAATTTCAATTCGTACCTGGCTCTGGTGTCCGCTTTGGATTCTCCGCCGGTGCGACGTCTCGGTTGGCCTCGATACATCGTCGACACTCTGCACGACTACTGCACCATCATAGACTCCTCGTCGTCTTTCCGCACCTACAGGCAAGCTTTAGCCGAGACGCAGCCACCGTGTATACCGTACATGTGAGTGAAACGCAACGTACATACTTAACAGACTTATAGTAATATTAATTAATCATAAAAGTAATAAAAATCAAAAAATAATACAGTTATATAAAAGTTTAATAAATTTTATATTTTTTTACAGCGGTCTTGTCTTGCAAGATTTAACTTTTGTCCATATTGGAAATCAAGATCTGTTATCGGATGGAAGTATTAATTTCACGAAGAGGTGGCAGCAGTATCACATCATGGAGAACATGAAGAGATTCCACAAAGAGTGCGTATTTTGAAATTAAATAATATTCATAATATAATAAAATTACGTTAAAAAACACCTATAGCGAACGACGTCCTCAGTTTTATGCAAATGTGAAATACAGTGTAATTTCACACGGTACTGTAAAATTCACTAACAATTGGAGTCAAATATTGTTTTTGAAACGATGTTTAAAATATTACGGATCTGTTAATAGTCATTCAATGTTTTCAAAACGTTATAAAACACTGCGCGCAATGCAGAAAATATTTGTAAAATATTCTAGATCACGATTTAAAATGTCTAAAATTACAACAAATATATTCAGCGCTACAAGAAGCGCTTCTAGAAGTCGTCGTGGCCTAAAGGATAAGATTTTCAGTGCATTCGTGTTGAAGCCATGCACCGGTGTTCGAATCCAGCAGGCAGGGTACCAATTTTTCCAATGAAATACGTACCTACTCAACAAATGTTCACGATTGACTTCCATGGTGAAGGAATAACATCGTGTAATAAAAATCAAACCCGCAAAATTATAATTTGCGTAATTACTGGTGAGTCCGCGCGGATAGGTACCACCGCCCTGCCTATTTCTGCCGTAAAGCAGTAATGCGTTTCGGTTTGAAGCGTGGGGCAGCCGTAACTATACTGAGATCTTGGAACTTGTATCTCAAGGTGGGTGGCGCGTCTACGTTGTAGATGTCTATGGGCTCCAGTAACCATTTAACACCAGGTGGGCTGTGAGCTCATCCACCCATCTAAGCAATAAAAAAATAAAAATTGTCTTCGCTTCCTGAAACGTCAACCTAACATGTATATTTAATCTTTTTTTTTATATAGCCATAATCAGATGTGTTCCAAGGGGTCCGAGTTGTGAATGACATTACATTAAATATCATTAATTACAGTAGTAAATTTAATTTCTTCAGTCTAAGTTTAAAATTTGCCATCTTTTTAAGCGTTTCACATCTCCAGTTGTGTCTAACAAGCACCTTGCCAATTCATTTGAGTGCTCATTTAGTCTTTCTTTGTATCTCTTGCTGTTCTTGTCGACTTCCTCTCTAACAGTCGGCATTTGTAAATATTCGTGAATCTCACTTTTTCTTACAAACCAATGCGCGTTTGAGATAGTTAATCTTTAATATGTAATCTTAAATTGAAATTTGATGATACTAATGAACTTATACAAATTCGACAGCAGGCAGTACAAGTTCAAGAAGAACGAGCGCATCCAAGCCATGTTCAATGATTTCGACGACGTGCTGAGCGAGGAGGCGATGTGGCAGGTCTCCGAGAGCATCAAGCCGCGCGGCGGGAAGACTAAGCCGACCTCCGCCATTTGAACCCTACCTTATCATCGTTTACGAACGACGTAGAAAACTCTATTTATGTTCTTCTGATATAATATATCCAAAGAAATGAAACGAATCTATCCAATTTAAAAGTGAGTACATCGAGTTTCGTAAGTTAGATAATCTGTCCTAAAATGGCCTAATTAATATTAGTGTTTATCGATAGTTGAGCCGTTTCGACTGTGATCATTTCGAAGGTTAGTTCTGCGTGCGTGTGCCTGTAAAGAAAATGAATTAAAATTGCTTAAGAATCGAAAGCTTTCCGTGTGTAGTACGTACCGGTGTTATGTTTTGAATCGATATTTAAATCGAGTTACTGTCTACATATCAGCGTGTGACTTGCGTAGCGTATTTATTAAACGAGTCTCGAGTGCTTAGGTTTTGATCCCTGTACTACACGTATTTAGCTATTGATGTCATAACGTAAGCATGATTCAAGTGAACTTCTCGATACATCGAATTAGAATTGAATTAACTCGGTAGTTTTGGTAGGTCCACTATTGTTCGGAGTGTAGTTACTTAATCGATTGTTAAGCATTTTGAGCGTATACTCATTCGCTTTTTTCGTCACTTTAATGTCGTTTTTAATATACTAACTTTCGCGAGTAATAATTTTAAGTAAAGTGTTAAATGGGACTCTTTTCACTTAAAATACAAGTTTTATACTCCATCATCTACTATAACATGCTCTCGTAACTGACTCAGGTGATACGGAAAATTCAGCAATAAACCGGAAATTTGTTAAAATAACTGGCTTCAAAGACCAACTATATTTTGCTACTTATCAATTACATATCATACAAAGTGTGTGCCAAATGCAAAATTCCAGAAATCTAGTCCCATTTCAAGTAAGGTGGAAATATTTATAGATTTACTGGTACTGTGAAGGTGTGAGATACGTTTTCATGGTACACAAAAAGTGAGATTAAAATAATTTTTGGATGTACGTGTAATATTTTGGAGAGAGTTACTGAAAATGTATTCCTTCTGATAATGAATAAAGTAGAAAATGTTTAAAAAAAATTTATGGGAATGTAGTGCTCTGAATTGAAGTAGCTTGTTGTAGTGCTGAGATCGGAAACCGCACAGCACGCAACATCGTGCTGTGAGGAATTAATTGAAACAAAATCCGGTTTGCGTAACGTTTTATGTAAAATCTTAAGTAGGAATTATTGAAACATAAATTTTTATGTCATTTTATTTTTGATATTCAAGATCTATATTTTTCCTATGGATTGCTGCCTACAAGGAAGCAAGCGTTTTACATTACGTAATACTTTTGAGATCTATACTCTTTTGTAGTATTCTTCATTGATCGCTCTAAAGCAAAATTTGAGTTGGTAAAGCTTTAGTTGCAAATCTGATATTCGAATAATGTTGTCAGTAATTAAAATCGGCCACAAAATTAGGTAAAATCACGTTATAAAATAATTAAGTTTATCGTAGGGTAAAATAATAGTGTGTAATCACCGTTTAATTTGCCTTAAGACAAACGAGTCTTCAGTGAATTAGCAATAATTTTATCGTTGGTAGAATCCGCACAATTCGTGGTAATTCTCGAGTAGCGTGCCGCTTTCTACCTTGTGACGTCCTCTATTGTAGATGTAGACATTTATTATGTTTAAGCGTAACGAAACCCCATTTTATCTCGCTGAAGCAGGCATTATAATAACGACGTGTTACAGTGAGACAGTTCACACGTAAATATTAAGCGTCACGTATGTACACGTGCTGTATATACTATCGGTAATCAACAATACAAGCAATGTTACGTGTAAAACGGGCTTGATAGAATTTGCAGCGTCTCACATTAATGGATGACACAGAAAGGGAACGAGTGTGTTCCGTGCAATAAATAATTAGACCAATGTTTAGAAGTTGTTTACAATGCTTTATTGTGAAATACGTGCTGATATTGTATTTTATACGTATAAATATTTTTTATTGTTAGTTACGTTATAGGGTACCGTGGTACGTTACCATTTTTTTTTTTTTGTGTCTGGTATTATAATTTATTTAGCGTGTATTATTATTAAATTGTGTAACGGTTTGATAGAATTATTATTAATGAAATATTTTTAAAGACTGCCTAAATTAATTATTATTATTATTATGTATTCAAATTTAATTTACATCTATTATTAGGAGACATTGTTACTTAGCTGGATTATGACGCCGTTGGATTCGATATAGTTTGTTTTGTGACTAATGCCTGTATTTATTTAAAAAAAACTTTAGAAGCATAAAATTTACATCTAAACAAGGCAACGTGAGTACGTCGGTGTAGCTTGACGCTTTTTGTACGAGCTTTATATTGACGTGGAATGTTAGAACGACGAAAAGTGAGGCCATTTCTAATTCGTGAACTTCGAAGATGCGACGTTTGTTTATATGTCACGGGAATGTGAGGATTAGTTTAAATAAGCTTTAAAATATGAGGTGCTCTTTGCAATTTTATGATTCGTTCTATGGTCAGCTGTGAAAGCGACCAACTGTGTAAACAATAAATTATGTATTGACATCAAGTCGCATCAACGCAAAGAAATCGAAGGAATGGCCCAGCACTTGTTAAGACTTATTTCCAATAATTCCAAAGAAAATTCATTTTATAATATATTATGGAACCTGGAGCGACGACTTTAAATAAATTTGTTTCTGATTAATAACTGTTTTTGCGATTTAAAAATAAAGTCTAAAATATTTGTAGTCTGCAGCAGTAGGTACATACTTTTGTTGTATTGTATTAGCAAATTCAGTATTATGATTAATGAATGCCATAATGTATGAGATGAATTAATTACTGTACCGAAATAGACTTTGTTTTTTTTTTTTTTTTTTTATTTAATTTTTAGTTATCTTTAGTGAAATCATAATTTAATTTACACTAAGGTATTGATTTGTACAACCCATATAATCAAAACTGCATGCATGTACAGTATATTAATTGGTGTGTCAAGTTTTTTTTTTTTGTAATTATTTTGTAAATTAAATATAGCACGTTATTTACATCACATTGTGTTTTATTAGCTACGGATCTTGTTAACGAGTTCTAAACTTGCGTGATGTTTTAATAAGAGTTTTATCTAAATTCCAAGTTACCTGAGGAATGAGCCCAGAAACGAACCATGAACACTTTCATCGGGTAATGTCCGCATTCGTGGCAAAAGTGTTCTTAATTCGAATGTGACAATTGGCAATATTTCAAATCAACTTTTTTATTGTCTTTGAAGGCAAACGGGTCCTTTTCACCGTGACTTCACTGATGCTTAGCTATGCCCAAGATACATGTAGCTAAGCCACTGCCTAGTGCTTTCTTCCAGATGCGATCTGCTCTTTTTTTGGCAGATTGGCACATTTTTGTAATGTAATGTTGGCAGCGATATTTTTCGGTGTTCTCTGTTTAAACGAATGATACTTACTAAACGGAATGAGTATACATGTCGACAAAATAGATAACTTACACCATTTGTGTAAATACGTAACTACACAAAGTCGCTGATTCATAACGAAAGATAACACAAAAATACGATAGACATTATATGGCGACCGGTGAATAGTCGTAACCGAAAATAGTAATTAGTATGAAAAATGTTTACCATTAAAAATCTCAAAATGCGGCTCTTAGTATAAGATTGACAAAGCCATTGTCGATCTTATTTAAACCAAATTACTCAAACTTATAATTTACTGATGTTTTTACGACCATACGCTATTTAATGTGTTGCGGAACATTCGCATCTTTAAGTTACGTCACAATACAAAAAGTATTCGTCCAAAGTTTAGGAATTATTAATTAAAAAAAAAACCGTTAAAGTTGAGTGGTTTATGGACAGCGTTTCGGCTTCGCGAATTATTCTTTTACACCCTGTATCACTGGAACAATGTAGTGTTCTTTATATAAATAACTATGTAATATTTGTGAAAATCGTTTACCGGAATATCGAAGGCGGCTGTACCGACAAGTGTCAAAATTCGCATTGTTTTCCATACTTCTTCTTGCCTTTATCACACTATCTGAGGTTGGCGCAGTGTGTCATCTCAGATCCTTCACACGCATACCCTCTCACACCCAGTCCATCCAAGTTTTTAAGACACCGCATCAAATTACTGTGAGCCGCGCCCTGTCCTTGGTATATAAAACTAGAAATGGTTGCGTCATAAAATAATTATCGTATTATAATTTTATATTTAACTTTAATAAATAAAGAAGGTATGTAGTAGAAGGATTGTCGATAATCCCATTCTCACGGATCGTTTGGAGCCTCTGGGTCTGCGGAGGGACATCGGTTCCCTCTGTATTTTGTACCGCATGTTCCATGGGGAGTGCTCTGAGGAATTGTTCGAGATGATACCAACGTCTCGTTTTTACCATCGCACCGCCCGCCACCGAAGTAGAGTTCATCCATACTACCTGGAGCCACTGCGGTCATCCACAGTTCGTTTCCAGAGATCTTTTTTGCCACGTACCATCCGGCTATGGAATGAGCTCCCCTCCACGGTGTTTCCCGAGCGCTATGACATGTCCTTCTTCAAACGAGGCTTGTGGACAGTATTAAGCGGTAGGCAGCGGCTTGGCTCTGGCCCTTGGCATTGCTGAAGTCCATGGGCGACGGTAACCACTCACCATCAGGTGGGCCGCATGCTCGTATGCCTAGAAAGGCAATAAAAAATAAATAAATAAATGTCAGTTATTTTCAACTTGAGCTTAATGCGAGGAATTGCAGACACATTCAGTACGGTTAAATTGTAGGCAGCGGCAATTCTGTTTTTATAATGACGATTTCTTTAAGCATTACTATGGCAGTCAGCTTTCGCCACGTGGTCCGTAGACTCCTTTGTATTTGTTGTAAAAAAATAAATATTTAAATTTTATATTCCCATTTCTTTGCTAGTATAAAGTTAAAATTCAAGGACACATAATATAAATTTAACGTGTTTTTGTTGACATTATCGATAATCGTTTTTCGATGAGCTCATCACGACGGGGTCCTACAAAGATAATTCAAGTACCGAAACAAAACCACTTAGTTTCGTAAATAAGGAGACATTTTACTTAATAGATAAAACTGCATATCTAATTGGGTAATCGATATCCCACTGTTTAAGTACTTTTGAAGACGTCATGGCGTTAGCAACCTCCATTTAAAATGAGTGCAACAGCGTTGACGAACCATTTTGGGTCTAAGTTATTGTCAGTGATTCCAAACTATTTGAATTTCTACTACCAACTTTGAAAATGTTTATTATTTTGTCTGCAATATTACTTATTAGTGTGAAAGCTGCACCTGTTCCCGATGAATTAGTTGGTAAGGTATATTCATGTTTATTACTGTCTCTTTTTATTTGGTTTTATAACAAACACTGTCTTTATGTTGATACATGCTCTATTGCTATTTCACTACATAGTATAAAACAAAGTCGCTTTCTCTGTCCCTGTATCCATATGTATGCTTAAATCTTTAAAACTACGCAACGGATTTTGATGCGGTTTTTTTAATAAATAGAGTGATTGAAGAGGAAGGTTTATATGTATAACTAGCGACCCGCCCTCGCTTCGCTTCGGAAACATTAAATTTTATTATTGATAGCCGAGTCCCGCGATGTTATCCGCGGTTATTGTCGTACCGCGGGTGAATCCGCGGGGCAAAGCTAGTCTAAATAAAGCTAGCCTAAGTTACTCCGTATATCATCAGCTACCTATCAGTGAAAGTCCCGTCAAAATCGGTCTAGCCGTTCCAGAGATTAGCCGGAACAAACAGACAGACAAAAATTGTAAAAAATGTTATTGTGGTGTATGTACCGTATATAATAATACATATATTCATATGCATGTAGTAAAAAGAGGCTATTTCAATATTACAAACAGATACTCCAATCTTATTTATAAGTATCGATAACATCCATTAAATAGTGGAGAAATCAATAATAAATTACAGTTTCCGAAGCGAAGCGAGGGCGGGTCGCTAGTTTATTATAAATCTTTGCATAGGAGTAATTCATATGGAGTTCGACATTACCTGATGAATAATTTTTCGTGCGACAAGTTATTCATTAATTCGTAAGCAATTTCACATACACTAGAATCACTATTTTCTTTTTTTTTATTATTATTATTTTTTTATGTAAATTATAATGAAAAAATTATTTGTCAATTAAACATTTATATTAATTTACATATTTTAAAAAGCGTTTAACTTCTGAACATCCTTTAAAGAAAATATAATTTAGAGCCCTTTCTTTTTTGCAAGAAGATTAGTTCTTCCCAATCGAAAGTAAAACTGCTTTTGTTTAGTAATGTGCTTTCAATTCTGTTTTCCTTGGCACGAGATAATCCCATAATAATACACATACTTACACAAACATATAAATATCTTCAATACCTGATTTGATTGATATGAATTTGATACCATTGAGGATATTTCTTACGATGGTCCTGAATAAATTATAATAAATAAAAACAGGCAGATGCACGCACATGTTCGCTGTATTATTCCAGGAATTAACGATTTCCAATTCACTTCATATTACCTACACAGTATACGTACACAGCTGTAGGTACAGTACGTTGCTTGTATTATTTATTAGCAGTGTGTTTAGAATGTGAACTAGCTTTTTGTAGTGTGCTATTCTAGAATGTACTCTTATCATTAGTAGGTACTATTCGAGAGATCTATATCGTATTACATAGGCGGTAGGACTCTTGTGAGTCCGCATGGGTAGGTAACACCACCCTGTCTATTTCTGCCGTGAAGCAGCAATGCGTTTCGGCTTGAAGGGTGGGGCAGTCTTAACTATACTGAGACCTTAGAACTTATATCTCAGGGTCGGTGGCGCATTTATGTTGTAGATGTCAATGGGCTCCAGTAACCACTTAACACTAGGTGGGCTGTGAGCTCGTTCACACAACTAAGCAATAAAAAAAAAAACATAGATACTGACTCAGTCGTGCATTATTTTACGCCGAGGATCGTGGGTTCGGTTCCTACATCGGGCAAACATTCGTGTGATGGACATGTTTGTTTTTTCTTTTACTGGGTGCTTATTACCCATATAGGTCTATATTTAAAACGTATATATGTATGTATGAAAGCCTCTGGTACCCATAACACAGAGAATCCTAATTTGAGGCCGTACGTGATTTGTTCCCGGTTATTGCTTATTTATTTAAATCCTAACGTCTAGTGCATATTTTCAAAATCTACTCTGAAAGCGAACGACTTACGATCTATTTTTCATGACTTCCTCGCCATTTGCACGTTTGATCAAAATTATTATTACTGTAATCGGATCAAAATATTAAAGTTCAATAATACATGAGCCTTACTTTTAAGGAGAATACGGGGATAAATTCGAAGGAGACATGCTGCTGACCGAAAAGCAAAAGCTTGCCATAAACAATGCTATACAATCACGTAATGGATTAAAAAATGATACTTTACGTTGGCCTAATCGAACAGTTGTTTATCATATCGAAGAAGACGATTTTGGTAAGAACTTTTCACTTTTTTTTTTTTTTTCATACCTAAGCTGATAGCCTTAGGGGCTATTTCAGCGTAACCCTAACGTTTGTAGGTGAGCTCACGGGGCTCAAACCTGATGACGTTGCTAACACGAACCCTAGCAAAAGCCGTGCTTCGCAGAATCTACCACCCGATCGGAAACGCGACCCACTGAGAAGATCCGGCGAGAAACTCAGTGGGCTGTGTCTGAGAGTTAATTTACTCGTCGAGCCCTTCGTCACAAGCGACGGGTTCGACGAGAACGGTGACCGGGGTCTTTTCACAAATTTTTGTTTAAAAAATATTAAATAAAAACTATTGCAACGCTTAAGCAATTGGTAGAAGTATTATCAGAACTCCAGTAGCAAAATAATATTGAATGTTCTAAGAACTGTTTTCTAAGTTTAGAGAATGCTATAATGCCTATTTTCGAATTCGATTGTTGTATTCACTATGAGGAAATAGTTAAAAGAAATCGGGAATTGCCAGAACCGTTTCTTAAGTGCTCACAACTGTACAAAATTTTAACTTAATACACAGCAAAACGAAGCGCTAACGTACAGAACAAGTACCTACATAAAAACAACCAATCAGACAAGAAAATCTACTAACTAAATATAACAATAAACAATAAAACTTTTTCATTTGGTATGGTCATTAAATAAAATTTTTAGCCAAATCTGACTCATAGGTTTTTTTATTGAACAGATGATGAAGAAATTGAAGTAATACTTGGTGGGTTATCTGAGCTATCGAATAAATCATGTGTCGAATTCCGAGCCAGAGAAGGCAACGAGTATGCTGTGATTATAGAGGTGGGTTGAATTTGAACTATGTACTTGTATTTAAAAAAAAAGTTGTTTATTGGTAAACTCAATACTTCAGATTCTTTAGGACCCTTCGGTGATTCGTGAGATAAATGTCGCCCGGCAGAGTTGATATTAAAGAGCGATCAGTGTGCTTCGTGCGAGTTTTTTAACGTTCTCGATAGCGTAAAAGTTAACATAAATTTGTATGCGGTTGGAACAGCGTCCCTAGCGGCAAACACAGGCAAACGTTCGAACTCCATACGAATTTGAATTAACTTTTACGCTATCGAGAACGTTTAAAATCTCGCACTAAGCACACTGATAGCGGTTATCGCTTTCCGATTCGGCAGGCTGGTTTTGGTCTGGCGGGGTGTCCTGATACACCAGCATTACCGCCTGGTCGGCCTGACGGGCCGCTGATCAAGGTGGCCGACGTAAAGACGTTTTCGCCGATGACTACGACAGTCAGGCGTCTTTGGGGTTAGCTATACTGGGTGTTAGGAGACCGTTTCCGAAAACGAAGACAGACCATAGTAATATTGACACCTTTGTCTAAATGAGTACTGTAGAATGGCCTCGGGCAGGAAGAGACGGCGGGACATCGTGAGATGCGGTAAAGCAATAATATCGTGTAATAAAAATCAAACCCGCAAAATTATAATTTGCGTAATTACTGGTGGTGGTAGTCTTGTGAGTCCGCACGGGTAGGTACCACCATCCCGCCTGTTTCTGCCGTGAAGCAGTAATGCGTTTTGGTTTGAAGGGTGGAACAGCTGTTGTAACATACTTGAGACCTTAGAACTTATATCGCAAGGTGGGTGGCGCATTTACGTTGTAGATGTCTATGGGCTATAGTAACCACTTAACATCAGGTGGGCTGTGATCTCGTCCACCCATCTATAAGCAATAAAAAATAAAAAGACGCATCAAGTCTGCCCCCTCCAACACTATATGACGATCACGACCGCTCAGTCACGAGTGACACGTTTGAGAAGGAGAAGAAACATAGTGAAATTGAAGCTAAAATTGATTAAATCAAATTAATTATATTATATTCTTAACTCTATAGAGTAGTGCGAACGGCTGTTTCTCCAGCGTGGGCTTTAGCAAAGGCGATCACGAGGATGGAATTAATCAGGTTCTGAACCTCGGTAAAGGATGCATTAGACAAGGAGTCGTCATTCATGAAATGTTGCACACCCTCGGATTTTATCATATGCAGAGTACATACGACAGAGATGACTTTGTTAAAATCGTGTGGGAAAATATTGCATCTGGTACGTCAACCATCGGTATATAATTTTATTTTTAAACAGCGAAGAGAACGTATTTAATCCGAGGGGGTCCTTTAATTAGACTGTTTTTTTAGGGGTTTTATAACCTGGTAACTAAGACCTTTAAGTCATGTCTTATTTTAAAATTTATATTTTTATTTTTATGAAAAATGATAATATGGAGTGAAATGAAATGAAATGAAGATAATGATTGAGACATTAATCAACTGGGATGAAATTAAATGAGATGATATGGGATGAAATATAATCTTAGTAAAATGGTGGTCATTTATTGAGATTTTTTCAGGGGACTTTTTGGGGGATCTCGAGAAGTTACGTCAAGCGGCTTTGTTTCATTTTCCCACATTTGTGCACTTTCACAGATATTAAACAGTTAATAAACCACCGTTATTACACATTTAAACCTGAAGAAACACTAAATAGACAAAATAAAACAAATCACATAACTTGTCGCGTTCCCGCCAAAAAGTCCTGATTAGTCTGCCGCCTCTGCTCGCTATACTCTATTCTAATAATACGAAGGCCCATAAGACAGATGTTATTATTATGTTATTGTGTGTGTGAATTAATTGTATAATGATTTATATTGATTGTGTATCTTTTAAATGATGTTTACGATCATGAACAAAAAATGATAGTTATTTCAAATTATGCGAAACGTGAAGAGTTACGTTCTAAGAAGTGTCAAAAGGGACTTCGTAATTGGAATGGAGTATAGTGGGCCCTTAACGACACAAACATTTCTTTCAAAGAAATATATGAGCATGAGCCTGTTTGAGCATGTATTGAGCATACGGTAGAAGAAAATTATTAATACATCATACAATGAGAAATAGAGGATATCAGTAAAATAGATAATCTCAAATAGATATGTAGTCTCAAATTATTGTGTTCCTTTGTCCTTAGACCGTCAATAATAGACGAAGCTTAAATTTATAAAATTAGATGCAACAACTTCAAGTTATTGATAGTTTTTTTTTTAAATTTCAAAGCTACGAAAATTTGCAGGACACGAACATAACTTTGAGATGTACAAGAATGACACAGTGACAGATTTCGGAGTTCCCTACGACTACGGTAGCGTCATGCATTATTCAGAGCATGCGTTCTCTAAAAATGGCGAAAAAACAATAATACCGTTGCAGGTTTGATCATAAATATATTAAAATTTTAAACTTAAGTTTAACCTTAATTAAAACAGCTTTTCAATAATCCGCGATCACAAAGAGTGTATAAGAAACGACGGAAATAATATAATGACGATAAAAACACGAAATTAAACAGTAAACATAGTTTTAAATATGCTCTCAACTCACGGAACTCCAAGAAAATATCTTAAGCCATATTTAGATTAATAACACTCTGTCTCACTTCGCTATGACTAGATTGTATGAGAAACATCAATTTCTTGGAAGTACCTACTAATCTAGTACGATCAAAGTGCGATAGACTTTGTATTAGATTATAGCTTAAATGCTTTCCGATTTATAAGCTACTTATAGCGTTATTAGGTTTTTGCGTGAAAGTGTCCATTTATTCTCGCAATCTTTTGCATTTTTAAATTTTTACTGACTAGAAAGCAAATAAAGCATCGTATTTAAAATTTAGTATCAAAAAAGAATTCTTAATTTCGAATTAAACTAGTGTCTTAAAATCGAAGGAAAGTGCTCTTCTTTTACCGCGAAAAAGCACAAATATACGTTTTTGACAGCTATTATGTTATAGCTGCTGTGCTGCGCGAGTGTTTAAATCTAGTGACTTTAATTGCAAATATCAAGAGCACCCGAGATAGGCCCTTTAGAAGAAAATCACATCCACATTCTACGACACGTAAATTAGCAGAAATTATAAATTTACAAAAATCGAATATCCGCGAACATTTGTTAACTCAGTATACAAACAATCCCAGGCGATTTGGATCTAAATTCTAACTGATGCTATTATAAGTTCACCACGAGCCTCAGATAATTTACTTCAATAATTATTGATACTAGATATTATGTAGTTCGGTTCCATTGATATGTAGTAGGTATATACCTAGTCAGGTCATAAATTCTGTCACATGTTTAATGTAAAATAATTGAAACAAGTTTATTCATTATGTAACCATTCATATACCAAAATGAACTTAACAAAACTTAGATTCTTATGACACTAAAGTTTATTCAAAATGACCTCCGTGATTTTGAACACAGGCCTTCGATCTGCGCGGCCAGTCGTCTATCGCAGCTCGAACGAGGTCCATGTCAATATCGGCGGCTGCCTTAATCAAGGATGTCTTGAGTGACTCCAAATTGGGATGAGGCTTTGAGCACGTCTTTTCCTCCAAGTGTTGCCATATCTTGTAATCTAACGGATTCAAATCTGGACTGGAGGAGGGCCAGTCTTCGTGCCGGATGAAGTCGATTTCACGCGCCGCCAGCCAGTCTTGTGTGCTCTTCGCTCTATGAGCTGGCGCCGAATCTTGTTGGAATACCCAGTGCCTGTTATTGAACATGGTATGAGAAACAGGTTCCACAAGGTTCGTCAGGACTGTATTTTGATACACAGCTGCATTCGTTTTTACACCTTTCTCACAAAAATGTACCTCTGTTAAGCCCCAATAAGAAACTCCCAACCATACCATGAGCGAGGATGGAAAATGACCTCGTTGGACACGCGGAATACGGTTGCTCGCTTCTTCACTACTGTGTGCGTACACCTTATCATTTTGTTTGTTGTAGCTCTCTTCAACAGTAAAAATTTTTTCATCCGAAAAAAGAATTTCCCGATATTTTTTTCCCGCGTACCGCTTCAACAAAGCGCGGCATCTCTTCAGTCTCCAGGTCCATTAGACGAGCATTCAAACGATGTCCTGTTTTTCTTCGATATACCCGAAGCCCTAAGTCTTCATTTAACACCCTTTTCACCGTGGTTCTGCTTAACCCCATCTGAAGGGCCAACAGCTTCTGCTTACGTTTGGGATTTCTTTGAATTCGCGCCTTCACAGCTTTTATCACTGTTGGAGTTCTAACAGACCGAGGGCGACCACTTCTTGACCTGTCATCTACACTAGAGTCTTCATTATATCGTTTGATGGTACGATAAACGAATCTTTTGGTTATATTCAAAATTTTCAGTATGTTAAAAATTTGAATTGGCGCGTAACCGCAACGATGCAACGCAATAACTGCAACACGGTCTTCTTTAAGCGTCCACTCCATATTTAAAAATGAGTAAAATTCTAAAGTATACCTTTTTATTTTCATGAACAATTCGAAATTCGAATTCAATAAACTTTTTTGTGGCCAGCATTCTAAAAGAAAAGTTTTTACTGTGTGACAATACTTATGACCTGACTAGGTACATATATGCGAAGGAAATTTGTGTTTTCGCAATTCATTTTACGTTGTACCGTCCGTAAAACAAGTATTGAGTACTTGTGTATATTTTATTATTATTATTTTTGCACATTATTATTGCCTTAGTAGGCAGACGAATATACAGTCCAACCTATGGTAAGTGGTTACCGTCGCTCATGGACTTTAGCAATGCCAGGGGCAAGTCGCTGCCTACTACTGAACACTCTCCGCGATATAAATCACTAATTAATGCATAAAAATTGCTTTCAAACTTTATTATTGTTTCAGGAAAACGTGAAAATAGGCCAGAGAGATGCTTTATCTGTCAGCGATATAGAAAAATTAAACAAAATGTATTGTACTGACGAGAACCTCGCACGCGTGCCTCTAAAATAGTTTTTGTCACCGATGTAAGATGGTGGCTTTTTAGTCCTTCGGTTCTACCGATACAAAATTGTCGTCCTATTATTATAGCAATATTAAGTTTTTCTTACTATCTCCTTGTTTTGTTTCATTGAATAATATGTATTTTTTTGCTGTGGTACAAATAAAACAACATTGTCATTTTCTCAATGATTTTCAATTATGAGTTGAATATATTTAACCCTTTTATTGCCATGTAGGTCACTGGTGCCCTGCATGGGGCACTGAAGTAATTATATCGATAGCTTTTACTAAGCGACTAATTTTGCTTTCTTTTCTTTTTATTTATTTATTTGGCATAAAATACACATTACAAACTGAAAAAAGGTACACAATAAAAAACAACAAGTAAAAAACCTGGCTGGCAACATAAGCCATGTGTGCATAATGTATGTTTTAGTCCTTTTGATCTCTTATTAGAAGTAAATTCATTTTCAGTATCTTCGGATTCGTCTCTCCCAGAGTTTGCTAGATATTCCGGCGCCTTAGTAACAGAAATCGATATACCTAATTACTTTAGTGCGCCACGTAGGGTACTATTGATCTACATGGCAGTTAACGTGTTAAATACCCACCAAGACTCTTTATCAGCGATCTCAGTACAATCACGTCATTTCGGATCCTCCCGATCCACTAACGGTGGTTTTAGGTACCCAAAGCACCGGTCATCGTCCTCGTCGCTTGCGACGAAGGGCTCGGCGAGTAAATTAACCCACAGACACAGCCCGCCGAGTTTCTCGCCGGATCTTCTTAGTTGGTCGCGTGTCCGATCGACTGGTAGATTCTGCGAAGCACTGCTCTTGCTAGGGTTCGTGTTAGCAACATCGTCGGGTTTGAGCCCCGTGATATGGTCTCTCTAGACTATTCTAGACCATCAGCATATGTAAGAAAAAAAAATCAGTACAACAAAACAGCAGTCTCTTCAGCACAAAAAAACGACGTTACCGTCACAATGGTTCCGGCAGATATTGCGAAGCCTTACCACATCTCATTGTTTTTCGTGTTAACATTACATAGATTACCCGCGATTGCTTGATTGAGAGTAATCAGAGTAGCTTATGCGCCAGATTTCACTATTGTAATTTAGCTCACGAATCGTTTCACGTGTTCTTAATCGAGCTCTGAAACACCGTCGAAGCATTCATGTTATCTATGTTGAGTAATAATTTGAAGTCGTTTAGACTAAGCCACCAGTGCTTACCTAATCACGGAAACAATAGTCATAACATATCTAGGTAGCGATATTTCAAATTTTTAAATGCTATAATAATTTTTAAAGGCTCGTCTAGTGATAAGCAGTTACTGGCACAAATAGATATACCACAACGTAGATGCCGCCAAATTATTAGTTAGACAGATATTTATCGTATCTTCCATGGTGAGTGCTTTGAGGAATAGTTCGACATGATCTCTTAATCTCTTTTTTAACATCGCGCTGCCGGAGTAGAGTTCATCCATATTATCTGGAATTATTGTGTTCATCAATATTGGGTGTCCTTGCCAAGTGCCATCCATATTTGGAACCCATACGAAAGCACTGTGGAGGTTAGTTTCGTGTTTTCTCAAGCGCTATAATATGTCCTTTTTTAAACAAGGCTTGAGAACGGCCCTCAGCAGTAGGTCGCGGGATGGCTGTACTCCTGGTTCTTTTGATGTCTACTTTTAGCTACAGACAACCGATCTGACATCATGATGACAGATTCTTCCGATTTGTTTTTTGTCTTTTGTTTAAGGAGGCCTCATGGCCTCATGAAGGCCTATGTGTTTAATTTTTTTTATTGCCCTTGTAGTCAGCCGAGAATAAGGCCCATCTGATGGTGAGTGGTTACCATCGCCTATAGACTTCAGCAATGCCAGGGGCAGAGCCAAGCCGCTGCCTACCGTTAAACTCTGTAAGTACATTTCTAATGAGAAGCAGGGTTATGAAATGACGGTCTTCTTACTTTAGTAACGATGAACTCCCAAACCATTCATCCTTAATATTACCGCCATAGGAGTTAAAATTCAAAAAAATCTTCCTAAGCCTACAAGATAAAAGATTTTTGCTCTATAAAGCACAAGTCCGGCCTCGCGTGGAGTACTGCTCCCATCTCTGGGCCGGGGCTCCCAAATACCAGCTTCTTCCATTTGACTCCATACAGAAGAGAGCCGTTCGGATTGTCGATAATCCCATTCTCACGGATCGTTTAGAGCCTCTGGGTCTGCGGAGGGACTTCGGTTCCCTCTGTATTATGTACCGCATGTTCCATGGGGAGTGCTCTGAGGAATTGTTCGAGATGATACCAACGTCTCGTTTTTACCATCGCACCGCCCGCCACCGGAGTAGAGTTCATCCATACTACCTGGAGCCACTGCGGTCATCCACAGTGCGCTTCCAGAGATCTTTTTTGCCACGTACCATCCGGCTATGGAATGAGCTCCCCTCCACGGTGTTTCCCGANCACGTACCATCCGGCTATGGAATGAGCTCCCCTCCACGGTGTTTCCCGAGCGCTATGACATGTCCTTCTTCAAACGAGGCTTGTGGAGAGTATTAAGCGGTAGGCAGCGGCTTGGCTCTGCCCTTGGCATTGCTGAAGTCCATGGGCGACGGTAACCACTCACCATCAGGTGGGCCGTATGCTCGTCTGCCTACAAAGGCAATAAAAGAAAAGAGGCTTCAATTGTCAAAATTTAAAATTGTACATTTAACGGCTCTGCCTTGATCAATCAATGAATAAAGACACAAGCAATGACACATTTTACGTATTAATAATAGTCATTTTCTTTATATTTCTTTATCCGTTTGTCTGTCTACATCGCGTCGGAGTCAAGGACGACAAAGATCAAGTACTCACTTTTGTACAAAACAAGTGTGAGTACTTGATCTTATTCGTCCTTGACTTTTATCGGACTTTTATCTTTATTATTATCGAAATCGGAAAGTAATTCTTTGTGAAAAGTCGAGTAAATTTACAACATTTGACAATGGCATTGCATTGCGGAACGCCTAAATGGATCTAGTATTATTGAATGACTTTGTTTGGTCAAGTGACGAAAACGATTTGTGTGAAAAATGATTGTTGCGTGCAATACTGCTTGTGGTCATTCTCCTCAATCCACACAAGGTTTGGACAAGGAGTGACAAGGAGCCTTAGCGATAGATTGCCGCTTGAATGTACCCCTGTCTTTGTTGATGTCCATAATCAACAGCGATGAATCAGGCACGTCTGCCTACGACGGCAATAAAGAGGAAAAAAAAGAAGAACGTAATGTAATGCCTACTTCTAGTGTTTATAATTTATAAAATTAAGTTTTTGTTCATTTGTATCGAATCAATTTCCAAATAAGCCAAGGTTGTTTATCAAACCTTGACACGATCAATTACTATGCAATAATCTTTAATAATTATTACTTACTGGATTTTAAGAAATTCTTTAAGATTTTCAAACATTTTGAACAGAACACAACCTTTGAACTGACAATATCTTAATAAAAATAGAAGCATTTTTATATACTAATATTTTTTTGCTTGTTGGTAAAAGTTGTGGGTAAAAGAATTCAGGGTCCACATGGTATTAAGTAATTACTATTAATTTATAGACATCATACCATGACTACTGCCACCCACATTCAGTTATGAAGTTGAAATTTAAACCTCTCTGTGGACGAACTCACAGCCCATCTGGTGTTAAGTGGTTACTGGAGCCCATAGACATCTACAACGTAAATACGCCACCCACCTTGAGATATAAGTTCTAAGGTTTCAGTATAGTTACAACGGCTGCCCCATCCTTCAAACCGAAACGCATTACTGCTTCACGGCAGAAATAGGCAGGGCGGTGGTACCTACCCGTGCGGACTCACAAGTGGTCCTACCACCAATAAGAGTAACTGGAGCAGAGTTCATTCATACCATCGGTTTTGGAATGGACTCTTCTTTATTGATATGAAATGTCCTTCTTCAAACGAGGTCTGAGGAAAGTCCTCCGTAGTAGGCTGAGGGTTGTCTGTGCCGAACGATAGTTTGCCTACAATGGCAATTAGACATAAATTGTATATGGGCTTATTGCCCTTCCAAAACCGGAACGCTTGACTGCTTAGTTTCAGAAACAAACAATGCAGCGTTACCAACTTGTGAGACCCCACAAAATGTCTTACCACGAGAATTTAGGCATAGTGGGTTTTATTTTATTACATGATGAAACTCGTTCGTAACCAAGTGTTAAAACGTCAAGGAATACCCATCGGATTACCACGATTCGAAAGAAGTATATCGATAATGTAAAATAATAGGTAGTAAACTAGCTAGCTGTGCTTTTAAGCTGCCAATATTTATAACTGGCAGTAACCGTTTGGGGACTATCACAGATATCAGCTCTCCACTAGATGTATCAGCTATTTGATAGAAATAAAAATATAGAATATAATAATGTTTGTATTATAAGAGAGGAAGTTATTAAGTACCAAAATATTTTAATTTATTTCCAATACTCGTTCTGAAGTATACCTATTGCAGAATTTAAACGTGCTTTTCGTTTTTCTTTCGGTGACTATTTGTTAACGGCCTTTGATTCAATTACACAAATTCTAAATTGAAGCCATTGTTATTCGATCGAAAGAGTAAAATGGACCGGTCGGTTTAGCAATTTGGTTTTGCACGAGTAATGCTAGTGCTGCGAAGAGGTGTGTAGAGGCGTTGTCACCAGACCGCGCTGTCGCAAGCGCCACTCTAAGGCAGTTGCCGGCCGACACCTTGTGAAATGGTCGTATCCGAAGGTATATTAATCTTCGCCCCACCCCGGCGGGTTTTGTTCTACACAAAAAACCGCACGATAACACAAAACGCTCGGCAAATCATAGTTTTCACTGGCATAAAACAAAAATAATGCTAATATTATTATTATGAGATGGAAATTTATGTCTAAAAACTTAGTTTTTGGGTATAATTAAAACAAACTTTATGAATTTAGATAGATGACAAGAAGCCCGTAGGTATTAGATATGGAGTATTTTAAATTATCAGTGCTTTCGATTTTGTTTAGTGTTATTAAGTGCTTGGCAATGTCACCTGATGAGTTAGAAGATTTCAAAGAATTTCTCACTCGGACATCTACGTTGGATCAAAACCTCAGAAGTAAGTAGATATTTTATTTTTAAATGTTTTAAACTGTGACCTTTGCCCACTGAGTTTCTCGATCTTCTCAGTGGGTCGCGATTCCGATCCGGTGGTAGATTCTGCGAAACACTGCTCTTGCTAGGGCTGGTGTTAGTAAATTCTCTCAGGCTGAGCCCATGAGCTAACATACCTACCCATCCGGACGTAGCTGGAATTGCACCTTAGGCTAGCAGTGAAGTATGAGAAAAAAAATCCACATAAATATATTTTAATATATAAAGTAGGTAACGGTTATTTCACTTTCTACTGTTGTAAAATCAGACACACAATCACTACCTATTAGTTGCTTAACAATAAAAAATATTTCAACACTTATACCATACATTTAATTGCAATTTTAAATATTGCTAAATCATACATTTGAAATGTAACATTGATCCGATTTTTTTTACGAAACAGGCCTGAAGTAAAATCTGTTTTATTAATCTATTCCTTTATAGGAAGTAAAATTTGTTAAAGATTTACAATCGTACGGTTTTCAGAGGGTTCTGATCCTGAACACGATTATGATGAAGACGGGTCAGTGTCAGACCACGCGTGGGAAGAAAGCGGAAAATTCGAGGGCGATCTCATCCTTAACGATCGGCAAAGGCGATTAATTGTTGAAAATATCATGGAAGGGCTCTCGCGCAACGGAGTTAAAGATAGTACTAAGAGGTGGCCAGATAACGAAGTAGTTTACTACATACAAAGGGAACATTTCAGTACGTATTCTCTGAAATATTATAACACACATCACGTCTAAGTTTCCAATAATTATGGAGCTCACTAATACGTTTATTATTTAATATAAATCATGTATTTAATGTAGGCGATAATTTATATATGTAGATGATAAAATAAAGGTAATGTTATTTTCCAGATGGCGGTCAAGTTCAAGCCATTCAAGAAGGCATCGACGATTTAGCACAAGCATCATGCGTTAAGTTCCGGCCGTACAAGAAAGGAGATCGCGATGCGGTTGTTATACAAGTACTCAATTTAATTTTACACTTCGTTTATTTAGGCACCAATGAATGACTAAGCAAACTAACGTGATAAAATATGATTTTTAGGGGAGTAGGAGAGGTTGTTTTTCCCAGGTCGGATACCAAGGTGGTTATCAGGTGCTGAACCTATCAGGTCGACATCCTGTCGGCCGAGGATGCTTTCGTCACGGGACGGTTGTACACGAGCTCCTGCATACGTTGGGATTCTATCATATGCAAAGTAGTCCCGACAGAGATGATTACATTGACGTTGTCTGGGAAAATATTTTGGAACGTGAGTAAACACAGATGTCCTCAATTTTTTATTATAGTTTACTATAAAAACAATATTTTTAAAGACAAACTTGATTCATCACAGGGGAAACTATTCGCAAACATTTCTGCTACCGTATTCTACGATTGCAACACAATGGGAATATAAATGAACTTGAATTATTCATGTATTTAGGCAAACATTGACAGTGAATTCACTGTCACTAACTAACTAATTAGTTAAGCATGAGATTTGAAAGTAAATAAATTGATCAAAGGTGTTCTTCATCCTTTTTAAAAGAACATTTTTTTATTGATTAAATTACCTACGTATTTTTCCCCGGCACCACTAGTTCATAATTTAAATGTTCACAGCGGCAAGACATAACTTTCGCAAATACAACTCGTTTGCTGTATCCGACTTTGGAGTCGGGTACGACTACGACAGTGTCCTGCATTATAGCCGACGAGCTTTCTCCTCTAACGGTCAGGATACCTTGGTACCGAAACAGGTGAAACTTAAAAATGAAAGTTTTTTTTTGTTTAAAGATTGTTTCTATGTTTTTAATCCGTATATTAACACACTTTAGAGCGGTGCCGACATTGGCCAGCGAGTGGGTCTATCCGACAAAGATAAACAAAAACTGAATAGAATGTACTGCGATGCTGACTCAGAAGGATTAGGAGAATTAGACGAATCTACGGAAGCTAGTATTAAGAAGAAAAAATATAAGAATAAACCTTTTGATGGACACGGAATAGGGTACCATCAAGGTAAAGCCGTCGTGATCAAGCTATTGCCGACACCTGCAACCTTTAAACTAGTAGATGCACCAACATTTCATATGTTTGATTATTTTAGCAAAACGCCGCAAACCCTGCCAGCGACGAAAACTGAAGGAGAACATGGAACTGGAAAACAGATAACTCCTTCAGAGAATTACAATGACCGTAACCAGAAAATATTCAATATTGATTCCAATAAATTCATTAACAGTCAAAACATTAACACTGACGGCTTATCATCAGAGAATTTACAAGAAGGCTTCCCGGAGGCCTTACATCGTTTAACCAAAATTGTCAAGTCACACGTATATCCGTCACAATCATCTGACAATTTGTTCAAAGTGAATGAAGATTACGGCGAACTATACATACCGCCAAAATATTCGAGTCCAAAAGATTTAGAAGTTCCTACACTAAAATCGAATCAAAATTCAGCTGAACGATTTATTGAAAATCTTTATGCACATCCTAAACCTCATGGTACAAAAACGTTTTATGACGATTATACAATTTTACCGGAAAGTGTGAATAAAAACATCGATCAAAAAGAAAAAAATACGAATTCAAAATATCCAACTATCATCCATCATGAGAAACAGGAACAAGTCAAGAGTATTGCTAAAGAATATGTTTCTCCGGAATATGCTTCTCCAGAAAGTTATCAAGAGAGGCCCAACTATGATACCGATAATATTCACAACAATAAAAAAACAATTAAAGCAAGTGAATTTTATGCACCCTTCGGTATCAATACGCATGATCATTTATTGTACCAGAAAAAGAAATATAGTTCCCATCCAACGAGATTTGATCACGATTTTTATTCAAATTTGCCACAAAACGAAAAGACTCAAGACGAATTCCCTCATTATGATGAACATAATCAAAACCAAGACTTTAAACCGACAACCAGAAACAGCAAACATTATTCTGTACTTACTGTTCCATTGCCTTCAACGCAAAAGCAGTATCAGCCTACTTATAATAGTTATGACGCGTGAGAACCATAGGAGAGACCAAATAAATCCAGACACCAAGTGAGAAAGATGATATCAGACGGTTTGGTAGAATAATTTTTTACTCGATGAATAGTTATTATTTATTCTTCTTCCACTCCATATTCACATGGTTTGGCTGAACTGACATATAAAACATTCATAGATACAATATATCATCGAATGATGCTGTGCGTCGTTAGTTTAATTTGTGATCATTTAATTAAGGTATTCATTGTAAGTAATAAAGTTTTATAATTAACGAAATTAACAGACGTCGTTTTTTTTTTCCTACCTATGCTGATAGCCTTGAGAGGCTATTTCAGCTTCACCCTAATGTGTGTAGGTGAGCTCACGGGGCTCAAACCGGAGTGTTGCTCAAACCTTGCTAGGGTCAGTGTTGACCCTAGCAAGAGCAGTGCTTCGCAGAATCTACCACCGGATACGAAACGCGACCCACTGAGAAAATCCGGCGAGAAACTCAGCGGGCTGTGTCTATGGGTTAATTCGCTCGTCTAGCCCTTCGTCGCAAGCGACGGGTTCGACGAGGACGGTGACCGGTGCTTGTGGTGCCTAAAAGCACCGTTAATGGATCAGGAGGATCCGTAATGACGTGCTTTGGGCGACGTCGACGGTTTACCATTCGGTCTACAGGATCGGGTATGCTGTTTCCAGCGGCCACGACAAGAGGGTTCTCATGTCGTGCCGCCTTCTCAAAGTGGCGGAGCGATGCCGACTCTAGATACATACTAACAGAGTCGAGCTCCAGGTCGTCGTGGAGATCCACGTTCCTCAGGAACCATGCTCCGACGGCTATCCTGCAGAATTGGAATTGAATAACCTGAAGGGATTTCAAGTTGGTACGGGCCGCGTGACCGAACACTACGCTTGCATAAATGTACGTCATGATGGGGCGTATGGAAGTTTTCAGACGTCGTATCTCCTCTATCTACTTAAATACAGATTTCATACCGTTTGATCGTATTGTAATATATTCATAAAATGTTTGGCCCCAAAGGCATTGATAGCTTTTAAGTTCTCTTTTACCATTTTAATAACACTAAATACATTTGATGTGACGTTCATCTTCTACTGGACTGCAGACTCAGACAATAGTTGAATCCAGTGAACGTTTTTATTGTGTTCATTGTACCTTTATAATTCATTCGGATTGAGACTAAATGCTGTCGAATGCCAATGTCCAAAATCTTTATTAAGATTTATTAATTAATTCACTCGGCTTTCTTATTTGATTTTATGTTCAAATGTTTCATTTTGAGCGAAAGACGGCAACGAACAAGAAAATTAATGATCTGATATCACCTTATCTTCGTCTGGCTATCTATTGAAATATTTATTTTTGCTTAGATAGTCATAACGAATAATTTGTTTTGCCTGTGCCAATTTTGGAGCAGATTTTTTTTTTATTGCTTAGGTGGGTGGACGAGCTCACGGCCCACCTGGTGTTAAGTGGTTACTGGAGCCCATAGACATCCACAACGTAAATGCGCCACCCACCTTGAGATATAAGTTCTAAGGTCTCAAGTATAGTTACAGCGGCTGCTCCACCCTTCAAACCGAAACGCATTACTGCTTCACGGCAGAAATAGGCAGGGTGGCGGTACCCACCCGCGCGGACTCACAAGAGGTCCTACCACCAGTAAACAGATAAACACATTGTACAATAAATAGGCATTGCTCCTGTAAAAAGTAATTAATAATGTATTTAATTTGTCAGTTTTACCTATTTATAATAGTTTTTGCGATGTCATTGATATGAAGTAGTACTGTTATTTATTTCACTATACGATATAATTGATACAAAATAAGCAATGGTTTGACCAAAGCGTACTAAAGCAAACATAAGGCTAATTTATAGAAAAATGTTACTGGATGTGTTTTAGATGTACGAGTAGGTACTCCTGGGAACAAATATTACTCATGGATCTTGAAGCAAAAATGGCTCGGAATTATAATCAGTTTCTATCAATCCTACCAGCTGTTGAAGGGCAGAATAGGCTAAGTAGTTTTTGATAAAATATAACTTAGAATAATAGCTGTTGTAGTTGGTACCTAAATTTTTTTTATAATAATACCGGTTTTATCTCAATAAATGACTTTGTTTACTTTTTTTGTTTTATATGCATTGCGGTACTAGTGATATTGTTTATATACCTAGAAGTCGAGGTTGAAAATAGCGTTAACTAATTGTACTCAAAGTTAGGCGAGTCAGGACGTCTTACTAATATTACTTGCTCATTATTCATATTATACTTTTTAAATTCTTATAAATCATACCAGTCCATATCTTAGGGTATTCTGTATAGTTATCTATAGGTATATTATTATAGTTAGTCACAACGATTACAATGAAGTTGTTCATGGTTGATTTTGATATTGAGCACGAACAAGTAAAAAGTAGAACATAAAGTAGATATAAAACAAACGTATATAGATATGTTAAGGCTAATACCCGAAGTGCGGCTATGCCTAGTTTTAGCCAGCTAAAACTAAGCTAAGCTAAAAAGTAAATAACTAAAATAATTTGATTGTTGATTCTTGCGTAGAGTGTTTAAGTTTATAAAGATGATTAAAATTTCAATTGTGTTATTCTAAAAATTTCTATAATGTTTACTTTTTCAAATAAATAACAACGTTCCTTGATTGTAGCTTGTTTTATTGTAGGTTGAACCAATACGAAGAATAAAACCTAGTTTTAACCACGTAGGGTTGGCTACATTTAGTTGTAGCCAGCATAAAGAAGGCAATACCTAGTTTTAACCAAAGGAAATCGGCTACACCTAATATTAGCCGTGAACGTAATTATCTGTTACACTTAAAAACCGAAGTGCAGCTATACCTAGTTTTAGCCGGCTAGAACTAAGTGTAGCCGCACTTCGGGTATTCATCAAAAATCACATACATCTTTACACAAACTTTATGGAATTTTTCCCTTCATTTAATTCCACCCCCTTAAATTTTCGTATTATTACAGGAATAATAGACACGATTTAACTTAAATTATAAAATAAAAGATTGGATATATTATTATAATGTAATGTCATAGATAATATACATAAATGGATAGTGTGTTATTTGCCCTTCGCCATTTCTGTTTAAGAAAAATGAACATACTAATACTGTCAAAAAACGTCAATGTCCGATTTTTGCATTTATAAAAACAAAACAACAAATGGACTTCATGCAGACCATTTTCGAAATACAAATTAATTTAATCTATTATTGTAGATTTGATAAGCTAATCAGATAGTACATGTATAAATTGAAAGTGCGCAAGATCACGGCTATGTGTACCAAGTTTAGGTGACGGCTGGATTATCATCGGCTTTTTATTTTGAGACTTATTATTTGCCTGTTAATGGGTTGTGCTGCATCTTGCATACAGGAAGCGACTATGTCGTTGTTCGGGAGATCTTCAAACAATATAGCTGACGATGATAGAGCTAAATTGGAAAGGAAGCTGTATGTTGCCAAAGAGTCCCCGGAGCCCGAATTCGACCTTTCTGATTGTAATTTGCGACAAATACCGTCCGGCACGTATTCTATTTGCAAGGTCTACAGAAAAGAATATATATATTTACACAAAAACGATTTACATTCCTTGGAAGACGGCGGCCAGTTGTCTGATTTGTATCTTATTAAAGTGCTCAACATTAGTTCTAACAAATTTTCTCATCTTCCCAGTGACATAAAATATTTAGTTAATGTTACTGAGTTGTATGTTAGTGATAATATGCTAAAGAATATAACAGACAATATTCAATACATGGAGAACTTGCAAGTTTTGGATGTTTCGAATAATAAACTAAAAAGTCTTACACCAGTTCTTGGCAAATTGAAATATTTAAGAAAATTGAACATTACTGGTAACAGAGAATTAACAGAAATATGTCCTGAATTATGTTTTGCAAGGAATTTGATTTGCTTGGAATTGGATATGGAATATATTACTTTTCCTCCAGTTGAGATTTGTCAGCAGGGAACAAGAGAAATAATGAGGTATTTATGTAATAAGATGAATGTGGAATATTCCCCAGCTGCTGAAGAAATTGAAGTGTTTTCGATTAGAACATCTAATTCTCTATTGGATCCGTTTGCTAAAGCACATTCTACTACTTGGGAAGAACAAGAAGCTTCTATTGTCGCTCAAGAGAACAAGATACACAAAATAGCTAAAGAACAAAGAGAAAAATTCTTGTCAAAGGTTCTACAAGAACAATTAGAGTTAGACTCTGAAATAGCTAAAGTTCATGAACAGAGGGAGACAGAAAGACAAAGACTGATTAAGGCCATTCAAGATGATGAAAAAGAAATAGAATGTTTGGTTAATAATTTCATTCAATTTGAATACTTGAAACCAGAAATAATTCAGCAACAGCTTGCTCATGAACAGGCAGAGCATGAAAGGCTGCTTGAAATAACCAAACAAAATTATGATAATGTAAAGAAATCTGAGATTTTGAAAGCAATGGAAATGCTCCTGGAGGAAGACAGGTCAATACAATATTCTAAAAAACATTATGAAGACTCTTTGAATAATATTAAGCAGAGCATGTTGATGCAAGATGCAGAAATAGCTGATAAAGTAACAGATTTAATTAAAGCTAAAGATCAATCAAGGACAGTATTAGTGCAACAGTTTCTTGAAGATCAAGATATCCAAAAAGCTATTGTTGCCTCTTTGCTGGAAAGGGTGGATGCTAGAAGTTGGAGTTTGAATCAAGAAATATCCTTGATCTCATCTCACCTTGCCAGGCTGAGTGTTATAGAACAAGAGAAGAAGAAATTACATATAGCATATAACTACAATGAGTTGCTAAACCAGAGAGTGCAACTTGTGAACTTTTTGGATGATCTCTTCAATCAACAAAATAAACGGAGGAAGCAGCTAATTCAAACTGTAAAAGAAATGGAAAATGAAAAAAGCCAAACGAATGACTTTTGGTTGAAAAACTACCAAAAGTTGATAGAATCTGCCCCAAAGACTTTGTTAGATGTTGGTAAATGTTTAGATCCAGTTTTTGCTAACTACTTGCTACAAGAAGGTGTTATACACTGTTTACCATTTTTGGTTAAATTTTTGTTTTCTGGTGATGTATTAAGTAATATAACATTGGAAAAATTGAAAGAGAGTGGAGTTTCACTTTCAGCTGACAGAGATGCAATTATGAGAGCAATCAACTTTTACATTGGTATCAAAAATTCTGAAAATTCTAATGCTAATTATGAACAACCAACATCTATACAACCAAGTGCTCCAATAGAGGATGTCGATGAGAACAATTGTACTGGAGTTGTAAATGTAGTTGAAGAATCTACTCTGGAATCGGAGTGCGTGATTTGTATGGATGCAAAATGTGAGGTGGTGTTCATACCATGTGGTCACATGTGTTGCTGTAAAGATTGCGGGGGAGGTGTTGAAGATTGTCCCATGTGCAGATGTAGTATTGAAAGGACAATCAAAGTTATGATGGCATGAAACCTTGAATCAGGTAGGCATTGTATTTTCTGTATTTGTTCTAAATTATTGTTCAATTCATGTTTTTGTAATGGAGCAATTATCACAAGGAAACTTGTATTCAGATTTTGAATAAACAAATATTTATTTACTAACTTACTTTTTTCTCTGAATATCTGAATATATTGTAAAACCTAATAGTAGCGTTGATGTGGTGAAAAATTTAATGCCTTTTTCAGCGACAATAAAAATTCAATATATTAATTAATGTATTATATTTTATTATAATTAATTATTTATATTAAGTTTATTAAAATATAATATTTAAATAAATATATTAAATAAATAAAATTTACTTCTCTATGCATGAAAATGTTTTTTGTATATTATGAGATATGAGAATAATGTGTATATTATATATGTGGACTGAAAAACAAATCTATATACTTAATGATTATATTTTTATTTCAGGATCTCAAAAAACAAATGAATTAACTTGAATATCTTGAAGCATTGTGGAGAATGGAAAGGATTCAAAGAAGTCACTAATCTTTAGTAATTTTGATAAGATATCATTATGCTTTTCATATTATTTATGAACATTGATGAGAAAAATAATAATACTGAATTGAGAAGAAAAGTGTAGTCCTCAATTTTGAAGGGTATTTAAAATATTAAAGATAATACAAATCATAATATTGATGAGTTATACTGTAATTATCAATTATGACTATAAATAAAACAGGAAAATGTTTTAAATGTTTATAATGCAATGATGTATTTGTGAGAAAACCCAAACCAAAAATGTTAATTAGTGAGGTATTATACAAATTCAAACATTAACTTTGGGCCTGTACCATTTTTAATAATTTTTAAATTATAAAGAACATTAAAATTGTTATATTAAGAAATGCATATATTCCTTGCAAGATGCCACTATTTTGGTATTTCGCTATTATAAAATTTGCCTCATTTGTTATTAAAAAATAATTATTATTGTACTCAATTTCATGTTATTGATTAAGTAAAAAAAAATGCTTCAGAGTAATTGTATACAGTTTCTGCAGATTTGCTGTTACTATCTGCTAAATGGGCGCTTGTACATTGATAGAGTATATCGTATTCAAGAATGGTTATTTTACACTTATTGATTGTACAAGGGCTTATTGGTGGCTAACCGCGGAACTGATTCACACTTTTGTAATCAGGTGTATTGGTAATATGGAGTAGGTTATTTTTGAAATATCTATATTATATTACCATATTTGGTATATGGTATATCACCTACCACAGTTATTTATTATGAAACTATAATCCACGATAGCAAAACATTTTATTATAAAAAGCTTGGAAACTTTGAGTCAACATATAGAGACTTGTGATCTTTGTGTTTTACTGCGTCTTTGTTAGGTACTGCTCTGAGGAATTAAATGGTGGGGCGACTTGTGTCTCTGAAAATTGTGATATCCATATAATCACTTAACATAAGGCGGGCAATAAAGTTAATAGCAAAAAAATTATACTAACTTTATACCAATTAAATATCCCAGGAGCAATTTTTTAAAATATAGGTACTACTGGTTTAATGATGATGATAATGAGGTAATAACAATGAAATATGAGAAGTTAAATAATATTATTTACACTATAATATCATTATAGTATTTTTTTTCATATAGTAATTACACATTGTTTTAAAATAACGTTTAGTAATACTAGATGTGTTACTAAATATTATTTGAAGGTAATAATATTTCCCTACAATAGATATCATGTTGTTTTAAAAATTACTTAATAACGTGTTACTATAATCTAAATTACTTACGCTCATTGTAATTAGTCGGATTGAGATATTATATTCATTAGCTTGTGTTATTTCGATTGTATTTTTACTCACTGCATAGTATTATTGTTTTATTAGGCGGCGCATATATCAACTAAGCTTATTATAATTCCAAATCAGGAGTTTCTTGTTAAGTTCGGACAGATCGGACTAAGATTATAGCGCGTTTTTTTATATTTGTGGGATTACTGTTGACCCGTAGGCCTTTTTAGTTTCACCAGGACAGGAGCGTGTTTTATGCTCACACGGTATCACGCTTTCTATCCATTTCTACTACTAAGCAGCCATATCTTCTGGCTTAAGACCGGTAGATAGATAAGCAAAAAAACAGACTATTATTTAAGTACTTTACTGGTAATAAAAAAGTTATTTATTAAAATATGTCGTCGTTGAGTTTCTGATACAGTAACCCTTGATTTCACCTGGCCTGTGTGCTTAGCGCCCTAGCGGTAAACGTAGGGGCGCTGTTCCAAATCCATACAAATTTGAGATAATTTTTGTCCTTACGGATCATATGCTAGTGTTATTGGATCATTTGGATCTGATATCCAATAACCCTTGCATTAGACGCCTACAGCTCTCACACTAGGAGCCGGTTTAGGGACCCCAGTAGCCATACTCGTGGAACTCGGCAAAGAGTTCGACGTGCAACCCTAACCTAAACATCAGCCCGCTGAGTTTCTCGCCGGCCTCAGGGCCACCAGTAATCCTTCAATCATAAAAAAAAGATAACTTTTACGAGATCAAGAAGTTAAAAAACTCTCACAACTGGTAGAGTGAGAAAGTAAGTGCGGTCGTTGTCACCGCGCCGATCACTTTTTGCTTGCTTTGCTCTTGCCTAATAGGTAGGGAAAAAAGATCACATCCACCGGCCACTATTATTTTTGCGGTTCATACATTTCTAAAATCGCTCGGAAATGTCCTGAATCTTATTAAGACTCTTTGTCAATCTAACGGATTGTGCCTTGGTACCTTACTATTTATATATTTGTATCGCTGTATTGTGTTTAACTATAGAGTGTACATATTCGAATGTTGATGAAAACGGCTGTGAGTACATACGTTAAGGTACGCATAAAAATATTTCAAAATATTTTAACGGTAGGCAGCGGCTTGGCTCTGCCCCTGGCATTGCTGAAGTCCATGGGCGACGGTAACCACTCACCATCAGGTGGGCCGTATGACCGTCTGCTACAAAGGCAATAAAAAAAAATAAAAAAAAGTTTGTACGGTAAAAATGCAAAAAGGAATATCGGTTCAAAATATAATTGTTCCTGAGACTAAACTTAATAAAAAATATTGTTNTAAACGGTAGGCAGCGGCTTGGCTCTGCCCCTGGCATTGCTGAAGTCCATGGGCGACGGTAACCACTCACCATCAGGTGGGCCGTATGACCGTCTGCTACAAAGGCAATAAAAAAAAATAAAAAAAAGTTTGTACGGTAAAAATGCAAAAAGGAATATCGGTTCAAAATATAATTGTTCCTGAGACTAAACTTAATAAAAAATATTGTTTAATGCAATTGTATTATAATAATTGTAATTGCTTAGATTGAAGTTTATTGATTAATTTTAAAGCGCTTAAGGAATCTTTCGGGCTCCCGAGACCAAAACTTTATCATAGTTTAACAAAACGTTACAGAATTTCACCGCGCTAATCTCTAATGCGATACAAAAAAAAATCGCATTATTATTCAATCGGATTGTGCAAAATATAATAAATATTGGTTAATCCTTGCCAATAAAAGCAGTTATCGGAGCTTTAAGGTTATCAATGTCAATAAGACTAGAATTCAATGCATCTGTTTCATTGAAGAAAAGCAAGAACAATAGATATATAAAAAAGAGTAGAATAGAAACAGGAGAACAAAAACCAGCAGTTTTTAGGATTCGTTTCTTGTAGGTACGTACGTTTTCTTGTTAAACCACTTGACCGATATTGACTATTTTGGAATTGTACATTTTTGAGCCCCGAGAAAGAATGTAATTTTGCTTTTGATGCCACTGCTGGGTATAGGAATTGGAAAACGGGAATTAAAATGCGCGTAGAAATATAATTAGTTCATTATAAAAGTATAAGACTATATTGAATTATATTACATGAATTTTACATATTTATAAAGCTCCGGTGACACATGTTGAATAAGATCGTCAAACGATATTTGGATTAACAATTAATATTGTCTTCCGAATATGTTATGGTTGTAATAACCGTATACCTATGTTGATCTCGGCTGTCCTGAAGCCACGTAAAATTGATTGAGATAAAAAGATAAAATGCGGATGTGAATAAAATCAAGTTTAATTCCTAATCGATAAATCAGTTCACTTTGTTCAATTATTTGAATTGGTAGTCCCGTTCCAGGAAGTGCTCAAGTTAATGGCGCGCAATATTTCCGACAGTGAGATACGTTTTGTGCTTGCAATGGATCGTGCTCAAGCCACAATTAACACTAATGAACAAAAATCTTTGGCTTTACTCAATCTTGTCGTATGGTTATGTATGTACCTATAACCTTTTTTTTTTTTGGGCCGTGGGCCGAACCTCTTACGAGGTCCTTGCGCCTAAGGGGCGCGCGGGGTATGTGGGACTGGTCCGCGACTGCGAGACCGCGGGCTCAAGGATGTTTTCAGGGCCCTAGCCACTAAACGACTCCTCTGCACTCTTTGCCCAAGCGTCCGATCCCCTCCGTGGCCAGAACCCGGATGAGGTAGGGGGGTTACCGCGGTCAACACTGCAACCAGACAGCGCGGCTCACCCCAAGGACGCCCAGCTGACGGAGCCTTCGAGGCGAATCGAAGGCTCTGAAACGTCGGCCGTCTCGGTACGGCAGACCGTCAGGCCGCCCAGACGGTGCCGCTGGTGTCCCGGAATACCCCGCTGGACCAGAACCAGCCTGCCGGGTCGGGACGCGATACACCCTCAACCGGTTGCTCTTTCGAATCTCCTTGGCAGCGCGCTAGAGTGGTGGTAGCGCGCCGCCCGGCCTCTACCCCCCTCAGGTCGCCCCTTGACCTTCACCGGGGGGATGTACCTATAACCTAGACCGAGTTTTTTATTAACTATAACTTGGTTGAATGTTTAAAAAAAACCATGAAAATATGATAGTTCTACAGAGTCAAAGCGGCCATTGTGTATATTAGAACAAAAGGCGTCGAACATTGAGCCAAATATTTAAGAGCTTTAACAGATTAAGTGCAAAGGGATGTCTTTGTTTATTAATTATTCATTTGTTTAGCGACATGTTAACAGTTGGTATTTATTTCTCATTAAATTATTATTTGTAACAATTATGCAGTCGATGAACAAAAGGAGTAATGTATCGAACTGAATTATGTAGTATTGTGTATTTTGCTTAGTCATTAAATTGTTACTTCATATTATAGCAATAATTTATATTTAAACGTAATTAATAATATTTAATTAAATAATAGGTTTTATGCCATGGAATCTACATATTAACAAACGCAGTCAAAGCAGTTAAGTTGTGACCGGCTGCTCGTCCACCGATTTTCTTTTCTTTAAAAGCTATTGGCAATTTTTAGAGTTAATTTTTTTCTTTAAAAAGACATTTAATTACCAATTTCTCTTCTGTTTTTCAATCGTTTCTTTTATATCTTTTTAGTACCTATCTATGAGATTTAGTATTCGTAATGAAAATTTTAGAAATAGGCAATTTGTTTTTAAATGGTCAGTAAAAAGCAAAAGATAAAATGTGATACATAGAATCGAAATTTTGTGGTGTCAATCAACTATAGTAACATAGCTAGTGCATCTAATAATATATTTTTGAAAAATTAATTCTCGTAATTTAAAAACTTTAGAGCACTGATTTTTAACACGTAATAATTTTATTTTCAGCAAAGTGAATCTACATAATTGAAAGATAATTAACAATGTTAACCAAAATAGTAAGCAATGTTGATTTAAAATTGTATTACGGTTTCACCTTAAAGTAATATGTATTATATATGTATTAAAGTAATATGTATTATGTCCTTCTTCAAACGAGGCTTGTGGAGAGTATTAAACGGTAGGCAGCGGCTTGGCTCTGCCCCTGGCATTGCTGAAGTCCATGGGCGACGGTAACCACTCACCATCAGGTGGGCCGTATGNAAATAGTAAGCAATGTTGATTTAAAATTGTATTACGGTTTCACCTTAAAGTAATATGTATTATATATGTATTAAAGTAATATGTATTATGTCCTTCTTCAAACGAGGCTTGTGGAGAGTATTAAACGGTAGGCAGCGGCTTGGCTCTGCCCCTGGCATTGCTGAAGTCCATGGGCGACGGTAACCACTCACCATCAGGTGGGCCGTATGCTCGTCTGCCTACAAGGGCAATAAAAAAAAAAATGTTTTATTTAATATGGTTAGTTTCTTGGTGTTTTATAGCAAGTTTTTCCAACGTCAGTCAAAAATTATTCATGAGATTTCTACCATAACCGAATTAACATTAAGTACGAACGAATAAAACAATGCAATAGATATATTCAACTTATAATTAACTTCATGGATAATTTTTTATCTGCCAATTAAGAATTCTACCTTTAATGTGAAACATAAAATATTTGTGATTGGATTATTTTACTATAATTTTACGATTCTTGTCACATTGTTTCAAATAAATTTATTTGGCACATTTTTCAATTTCATTTCACAAACTCCCTCAAGAATTAATTTAATTTTTATGTAAACATTTATTTATTTAATAAAAAAGTAATTTATTTTAAACTACTCAAAACTCATTTTCACTCCGATATCACTATCACTATCAATGAATAATAGAATGATAATAATAGAATGATTTTTTGGAACATAATCGCTCACTACTACAACTACTACTACAACCGTACGTCGATGGTACTATGACAGTAACATTCTTTGGAGCGCTAACAAATATTAAGTTTCATCACATTTGGATGAATGGCTTAGGAACGCATTGGGGAGAACGAAATATTGAATTTTATTTAAACATTCTTCGTCTTGTCCTTATCCAGTATTACGCTGGGTTGGTGTAGTATGTGCTCTTTTTCGATTTTAGCCTATTATATGCCATGTCTGCGCTCACACCCTTCTCTTTTTTTTGTTTTTTTTTATTGCTTAGATTGGTGGACGAGCTCACAGCCCATCTGGTGTTAAGTGGTTACTGGAGCCCATAGACATCTACAACGTAGACGCGCCACCCACCTTGAGATACAAGTTTCATGTCCTATTTCATACATTCCATTCAAGTTTTCTTAGAACGTCCCTTCCTCATATTACCATTAGCCCCAAGCCGATCTTTTTATTATGATTGAAGGATTACTGGTGGCCCGGAGGCCTTGCCAGTTTCAGCAGGACAGATGGGCGAGCAAAGGCTAAGTCAAATAGATCTCCAATTCAGTGCTACATCAGTCAGAACGACGAAACACTAAAATAATGCAGTGAATATTGATGAGATCAAAACATAAAAACTCTCTTTAAAAACACGGGGAGTTGAACGTACCAAAGACAACAAAACTACTTCAGATTTATTCTGCAAATGTGCCAAATCGATTATCAAGCCAAGTCAGTCAATTTTATTTATATTCCTCAATATAAATATAATTGACTGTCGTTTCGATTAGATTATGTTCATACGACTGTTCAAAAACCATTCGAAATGGAGGGCCCCGATTGTGGATGGTAAAAGGGATTTAATTGCAATTAAGATAAATTCTATATCACTTTCTCTATTGAATTGGGTTACGCGGGTGACCAAGTCACGACACGACACACCTGGTCTTAAGCGGTTAATGGGGCCCATAGATCCCGCAATATGAATCTCGTCGCACAACTCGAGGACGAATTATCAATTTAATTAAAACAACGCCTGTAATACATAGATCCTATAAAATAATTTATTTCTTTTAATCAGACATCAAAGAAACTTCTGAAGACAGCTTTGCTGACATTTATGTTTGCGTGGAAACTTTTGAAAAGAGTGTCTAAAAGCGGTGCTCGCAGCATGAATGCCGAGTCAACAGTGGTAGAATAAATAAAATGGCATTTTTATTCCGATCGCGTTGTAGTGGGGGCGTCGAAAACGCATGTCAGGACCTGTAAGATGGAAAGATCGGTATGAACATTTTAAAAGCACATTCTGCTACAGTGGTTGGAGCTTATAGAGAAAA